ATAAGTTACAGGGGGCTTCTCCTTCACTACAGACCTACCTATGTCCCTCTCCATATATACACACATATGTACACACATACACACACACAGAGATAGATGGAGAGATATAAATACATGTGCGCACGCAGGCAAACACGCATACATATATATATATGTATATATTTATATATGTATAGATTCTCTTCCAGTTCTTGGAGTGGTTACAACTACTTTAGTCTACAAGGCATCCTAAGGGCACTTCCTGGCTCTAGCAGTAAAGTCCATCGTATTGTGGAGAGAAGTAAAGGGAGTTATCACTGAGGGAGAAGAGCAGAACAGTTTTCTATCTTGTGTAATACCAGGTAACAGGCTGACACCTCTGAAAACTATGATTGCTGTTTCTGAGCCCAGATATTTTCTCCCTGTGTTCCAGGAGAGCAATTGTTCATCTTGTTCAATTGCTGTGTACAGAGGTGCCACTATGTTGGTTTTCCCTTTTTGGTGGGTAAGTAGTTGCTTCCAAACAGTTTGGACTGTATGATACAATATTCTATGMATCATTTGCTGTTGGTTTGTTTAAAGGGAGATTAAAAGAGTTTTGCTTTTTTCTTCATGTCGTTGCGTCTCCAGAGGGGTAACTTGTCAAACTCCTGTATCGTCATGCCAAATATTTCTTGAAAAACTTCAGGTGCTAAGTGACGCTTTAAAAAAAAAAAAAAAAAAAAAAAAAAAAAAAAAAAGGAGGGAGGGGAAAAAAGGGAGAAAAGGCAATGGTCAGTCAAAGCCAAAGAGACACAACAGGAGGTTGGAGTGCCTTAGGGATTTCATGTCGCTGTGTAAGAGCCACTGCTGGAAAAAAATAGTGCTTTGGCAATACACATATCCAAATCCTCATGGCCTTGGGTGCCCAAGAAATCAACCAGGGGAACTATTTCACTTGCTGAATAAGCAAGAGACAGAGAAATCATTGGTTTGAAGCCCTCCAACAAGCAGTGACAGACCAGAGAACAGCACCAGCTCCTGCACACCACCCCTGTCCCCARGTCACCTCTGCTTACTTTGGGAAATCCAACAGACCATGCGTTTTCAGGAGAGCTCTGCAGAGGGGCTGCAGGTTGGCATGCTCAGAGTTCTGAGAAGGAAGATGTCTGGCCAGGCTAACAGTCCAGCACACTTCTCTGCTGYTAATTTTGGTGCTGTCCTGGGCACAGGGTACTTCTTGTTCAGCCACTTTGGAGTGCACTGGATGGGGAATGTGWCTGCCTGTGGCACTGATCTAACACAGCACTGAATTTGGATTAATGACCACATATCTACTGGTCAAAAACTGGGCCCAACCCCAAATTATTAGCCAAATTACCCACAGTTTTGTGGCTCCTTCCATTCATCTTCACAGAAGATTAACTGGCTACAAACAACTTAAGCATCCCCAGCATTCCATTGGGCTGCTTAAATCTTCCTAATCCACAGAGCTGTAAACTATATTTGTTTGTTGGCAGAGATTTAGATCCTTGTRTTTTTGGACATCAGCCAGTCTAAGTAAGTCACAGGACTCATGGTAAGTTAGACTTTTGATCCTCAAGTAYGGCTGACAGTCTTAGCTAAGAGATGATCCAAGATTGAACAAAGTATTGCTCCATTCCAGTGGGGATCCTATGACACTTGTGCAATTTTGGGCTCTTAACAAATCCACAAGTACATAATTAAATGCCTGAAAACATAAGGGGATTGTGAGAAGCTCAGTCCRTGAGCAGGGAGACAGAGATGTGGGAGATTGTTCAAGGAGATGCAGCTGCTTCCTTGCAACATCTGATTCCTTTTTCCCTGATTAGTGCTGAGAAATCTTCCCACATTTCTCAGGACCCACATTTCAGTGTTTCAGCTTTCACAAACAACAAACAACTTCAGCAGCAAAGAGCATTTAGGAACTTGCTTCTCTTACCTCCAGCCTGGTTCTGTCTACATCTTTTAGTATTTTATTTCTCCCTCTGTTGGTCACCATGAGWATTTCATATGGAAAAATCTGTTAACAACGTATAAAAGGGGGAAAAAGAGATATTTATATGTATATTCTAAAGCAGACAGATCAAAATGTGTCTCATTTTCATAAACACACAAATATTTGTTTTCTTTTTCAAAGCAAATACCAGGATGGGGGGTTTTTAATCATTTATTTCTCAAGTTGTATGGAAGAMAAGCTGATCTGGATGGAGTCAGAACTTGTTTAGCATTGAAATGCCTCACATGGTAAAGCCAAAATTTTTATGGTGCATATAACACATCAGCTGCCTTTGGTCAGACTCTTTCTAGGCAATACACTTCCTTATCCATCKATGTATAAATTTATTAAGGTAATTGCATTTGTCACCCATTAGTCAAACTAACTGTTGCCAGGGTGCACAGTCCTAAGGACAGACAATTACGGAGTGGACTTTTAAAACACGAAAAAGCAGCATCCCTGATTAAGCAAGATATTAATTAGTGGGGGCCACTGCATTCAGGAGGATTTATCACATGACTTTCTTTGCCTTTTTTGGGCAATTAAAGAATTCAAACAAGTCATAGAAACAGTGCTGCTTGGAAAGGATTTCAGAAAATCTCAAAATCAATTTCTGGAATCATCCCTGGTGAACAAAACTCTGTTCTAGGATTTTTCTTTTTCTTTGGATAGACACTTCCATGCCTGGAATGACTTAGGAGAGCTTATGTTCTGTCTGCCAGAGCATCTCTAGAGCCCTTTTCACTGCATGTCTCTGCACAGCAGCATTCCCAGATCCCTCATCCAGCCCCTCATGAAGTCAATGAAGTTTTTCTGGAAACTTCAGTGGCAACTGGCTCAGCCTTTACTGTCACTTRTGAGTCTTGTCTTAATTGCCCACTGGGAACATGAATGAGACCCACCAAAACTCTCCTGGAGAGAGCTGAGCTATTACCAAATGCTATTAATTACATTATTTCAACTTCAGAAGAAGTTTGACCTARTTGACTTTTGTGCAGTACTCAGCAATTAAGTTCATTCCATTGTTAACAATTACCCAATGAACTTTTCAAAAATATAATAAATAACATTCAGGCATCAATGAACACACCACTGAGTTTATTGTAAGTAATAATAATTTAAATAACGTGTGCTTACATACCAATTGTAAGATATGATTCTTATGAGATTCTGACATTGTCACAATTGTACAATTAASTCTATACTTGGAATTACATTGTTTATGTTTGATACTGGAAATGGCTACCATAAACAGCATTATAGTAAACTAAAATGTAACTTTTCATATTTAAACAGGCAGAGTTTAAGTCAAGATCTACGGTCATAAGTACATTTTATATTTAAATATTCACAAAAAGGCATGTCTCAATCTGGGTTGGCAAGATGCACAAATTCTGTCCTTTCTGGAGAACCATTTGGTAAGATTGGGTCATTCTTACGATTATTAATTTCCACTTTTCATGTGTTTCATGCTGASTCTGAATTGGCTTATTTTGCTTTATCAGGTTTAAGTTAGTGTTGGATCATTGACATGAACCAAAACAGTGCCAATTCACACGTGCTGAGGGTCTGGCATCACCTTTATAAATATCAAGACAAAGTGATCTATTATCTCATGAAAATTCCAKTAAATTTTATAAAAATAATCATTAATAAATCATCATTAAATTTTGYCATTAATAATACTGACAGAATTTGTCACCCAAAATAGCATCCCAAATCACGGGGTACATCAACAGCAGTGGTGACTGTAAGAATTTCTATTGCACTGAAAGAGAAATTATTTGGAATAAAAAGTAGCATCTGAGGAGTCCCCAAGCTCTTGTTTATATAATATATAAAACCACTTGTRACTGCACAGTGCCCTGGGGTCTCAGCTTATAAAGCTGGGCTTATTGCCTTGCACAGTTTGTCTGSAGGTGACTTGGAAGCACAAGTAGAGCAGAAATTTGCAAAGTGAGCAGAAATTCTGATCCTTGTAACTTTGGCAAAATCATGATTTCATGGAAGGTTCACCAGCAATAAAGTTGTAAGATTTAAAACACAGCTCTGGTTGAATTCCCTCTATATATTATATTCATCTTTGACTYAGACATCTCTAGACATAGCTGTAAAAGCATTTTAATTTGTGTCTTAAAGTATAATTTGCAGACATTGTCTCTGTTTTCCAATAAATCTCCTGAAGAGTTTCTCATATAGGGAATTCAACATGATTGACAAGTCTCAGGGTAACAGTGCTGAGAGCTAAGGGACAGACAGACATATAGGTATCTTATTTCCAATCAAAGATCCATGTATTTCAATAATTTTTACATTAAGACAGACCCAACAGTGTGTCGTGAGCTATTCTGCAGCACTTTTTAAACTGGACAGCTCTGAGACTTTCCCACCGAGATTGGTTTTGGGTGGTAAAGTTTGACAGAGAACCAGCTATGGAGCACCTTCCATATGCTTCCTTTTTTTYCTAGAAAATCTTGCTTAGCCCAGGAAATTTTTTCCAGGAAATCTTGCTTAGCCCACACCAGGGCTGCCCTCAGCCTGCCTGAGTACCAACAGCTGCAGAACAAAGTCCAGAACAAAGGAGAGGTTTGGCACATAAGGAGCAGGGACCAAGGTGAGGTAAAGGAAAAYAAGGGAACTGAGACATTTCCCGAATTTTATCTGCATTTCACAGTAAAACCTTCAATGTCTTGAAGGAAAGTGAATAACATCTGCACTTGCCTTTGGCTCCAACATGTTAGGCATAGACACTCCTCTGTCCATTCTCATTCCAGGGACATGACCATCCGGAAGGGACTGCATCGGATACAGGTACACATCAGACACAAAGGTTACACACACAGAGGGAAAAGGCACTCAATTTGTGGTGAAGACAAAGGTGAATTTGCCCTGAGACTTCCTTCAAGCTTAATTCTTGGTCTTATTATACAGATCATTGYTATGGCCACTGTTCATTACTCCTCTGAGCAGGCAGAGGGATCCTTTAGTCCTGTCAGCCACCACAGCTCGTGTCCCAGCTCAGGTTGGTGACAGCTCCCACTGAGCATCACCTTCCWGGGGGACCCGGGCACCCCAAGACAGTGGAGGGCCCTCTCCCACCCCAGGAACTGGGTAAAAGTCTTCTCTAGCTCTTCTCTAGCATTAATTCAGATCCCACCCAACAGCACAGAAAGCTGGGCTTTCCTTCCTGTAATTTACTGTATCAGCTGAGGGACTTCTATTTTTTTTGTCTCTTCAATGGGAAATTTTTGCAGTGAACACAAACAGGGATAAGGTAAAAAGGTGCTGATTTGACACAGGTACTGTTTTTAAGGAAGTAACATTTGGAGCACAATACACGGACAGCTCTGCTCTCCTCCCATAATCTTATTMTCTTTCCAATCATCATGATTTTGATATGCCATTAACAAAATTATCCCAAGTAATTAAACTCTTCCTTAAATCGCCATTTCATATTGTGATTGTGCTGAGGAGCCAGGCAGACTCAAACCATTCTGAAAAAAAACCCTGCAGGCAGTAATTGAAGTAAAAAGATTTCTATTTGCAAGCACACCTCTTTCTGGCCCATTTATGATGGCAGCACTGTAGAAAACTACTCATCAGCCATCTTGTCTGGAGAGCAAATTCCAGGGTAAAAATGAGGAGTTCAAACTCCTGGTATGAGAGAAAATTGCCTCCAGAAGAGACTTTCTGTGTGTCTCTGGGGTCAGTACCAGAGAGGCTGGAAATAAATCCACCCTCACATGTCCAAAGACTGTTACAGATAACTCATATATGAACAGACAGTGGATTTTACAGAGCAAGTCACAGAACTGGTGTGAGCTGTCTCAACTCAGCTCTGGGGAGGTAACAAGGAGGAATCCGAGGCTGTGCCTGTTTTTTGTTGATAAGRATCTACATTGGTGATTATGCTTAAACATGCAGGAAAACCAAAGCTATTGTCTTAAGAAAACCCTTCCCTGTAGCAGAAATTCAGAGTTGAACAAGTAGCTGCTTTAAGTTCTGTTGTCAGTTGATTGATGAAAACCCGTACTCTACCTGGAAATCTGAAAAGCAAAAGAGAAATCTCATCAGCTTTAGAGTGGGGAGTAACAGGAATCAGTCACAATCTGCCAGATAATCTTTCTGTTTTCTGGTCTACCTAATTTTTCCAAAATCCCATCTGATTCTCTAAGCAACATTTCTAATTTTGGACTTAGTTTGTAGAGTCAAATGCTACAAGTATCACAGTCCTATTCATTAACTTTTTAAGTTTCATAATTTTCATAAATAATATCATCAATTTTTATTTGGCAATGACTGATACTACATCCAGCTCAAAGTGATAATGAAGATCAGTGGGGATTAGAGGGCATGATCTCCCTTTCTTCACTGTGGCACATTATTTCAGACTGCTCAGTGGAWGACAATTTTCAGAGAAGGAAAACACCATCACAAAACTCAGGTCATATTCCTGATAGTGCACACATTACTTGCTTTCCATCTGATTCAGTGCTGAACCATAAAAAAAGGATCAGTTGCACAGAGCAGATTTAGCAAAATAAACCCAACATTTTTAACAGGTATTTGAAGTGTTTTGAGTTGATCGTCAAGTTTGCCAGAGAAAATTMATAAGTACTGAGCAAATACAAAGTAATCACATCCACAGCCTTAAAATAAAGCAGCAGAAATGATCAAATATTATGCTGTAATAATAGGCTGTGAAAGGCTCCTCAGCCTTACCTCTAACAGCACCACTCACATCCCCATAACTGTTGTACTGACCAAAATCCGTAGAGACCGGCTGTAACAGGAAAAGAGAGACAATTCATCACTTTATGAGCAGGTTGGTACATGGGGAGAAATAAATGGCTTTAATTTTTTTATTTCCCCCTCAATTTTCAAGCATTTCTTGCATTGCTCTCTTGCCTTTCTAACAAAGCCGTTTGTGGGAAGGGAAAATAGGTTTGGTCTGACTTCAGGTGCTTTTRTAAGAAACATTTATCAAACTGAAAATCCAATCTAATTGATATGGAAATAAATACCACAGATAATTAAAGCCACCTTTCACTTCTCACAATCATCATCTTCTTACCCTGTGAAGTCCATTTTTTCCATACCCAGGGAGAGAAGAGGTTTTGGAGGCTGAAGCATGTGCTGCTGGATGAGGAAGGGAAAATATTTTACTSAAAAAATCCCATGGAAACTAAAAAAAATTAGAACATTTGAAGAATCACCTAGTACAGAATACACRGTTAAAAGAGCCATATACACAACCAACTGAGACTTTAAAAAACTCAACAAAAACTTCTGMACATTCTGTAAGTCACAAACAGCTTCATGATGCCATGGTGGCAGGCCATCAKTAAGGGACAATGTGATTTTGCCAGGTTCAAAATCAAGGTGGTCTCCACTGGATTGAAAATAATGGTCATGGATCAGCCATGGCATCAGCTTTGGGAAAGATCCTGCTGATTCCAAAAGGCAGACGATGACTGCACTGATTATCCCTGCAATGAGGGATGGACAAGTCTAAATGAAAGAACTCTCCAACCTGTGCTAAGGTTAATAAAAAAATCCTAAATTCTGAGTTGATCAGGTAGACTCTGACTCCATAAAAATTACACACAGTGAGGGAGAGCCACAGGAATCCTCTCCAAGGCCATCAAGGCAACACACTTATACAACAGGGAACATGAGGAAATCTTAAGTTTTCTTGGCAGCTGCTCCAGTGGATGACTCCAGAGAGACTCATCTTGTCCCTTCTTGGCTCAAAGTAGAGCTTCTGTGTACAATGACTAGCGAATGAAGAGAGTAAAATAAAAYCCCCAAATGCTTCTCTGGAGATCTGAGCAGGCCACAGCTGTACATMAAAATGTGAAATGAGGCAAAGAATCGAAGTCACCAATTAACCAAAGTTAACTTTTGTGCTTTTGCTATGGAACCAAATAGACCCAATCACGATAACAACCCAGGTCAAAACTCTGGCTGTGTTTGGAATATGCAGCCTCACTGGTCAATGTTGCAGAATTTCTTTCCTTGGGAAAAGAGACTAAACAGGGACAGGAACCACCAGTTTAAGCAAAATGTRTTATTTGTAATTTAATAACCTAGCCTATTAGCATGTGTGTGATGTAAGAGTCACTGAACACTYCACCCCACTCCTTATCTATCTTAGAGCATCTCTCTTCTCAAAATTGCCTGAAAATCCTCAACCATATATTTCTTCTAATTAAAAAACAACCATGRTAGTCCTCCCCTCACCAAAACCAGGTGATGAATTAAGCCACTCTTTCAGAACAGTCACCACACATCCATATCAAGCAGTCTTCCCAGCTGTCTCTCTTCTGGGACACTGTTTGATATGTGCATTTGAGGTGTTTACTATCCATTGTTCACGATTAGCTGCATTGCCTCCATGAATTACCTGGAGAATCGTAACGACTGGCAGAAAGGGCTGACCTACCCCGACTCTCCTTCTCCATCTCTTCCTTCAGTATTAACTGTCCCAGACCAGAGTTGAGCTACAAATGGCAATTAAAAAAATATCARTAAGACAAAGCTGACCGAGACAGTGGTAGAAATTGCTTACAGAAAGCAAAGGGGCACTTTTTGGATGGTGCTCAGAAAGAGCATGAGGACAAGCTTATAACCACCTTCATGAGCTGCTCCTCCTGCAGCTGCCGGCGTCTCTGCAGCTCCTCATCATCTTCCTCCCTCCCACTTGATCTGCGTCTCATGTCAGCTCCTGCTTCCACAAAACCACAGCACAGAGAGAGCTTTGTGCACCAGTTCAAACGCAGCTCACAGGTTTCAATGCTAGTTCAAAGTACTGGTCAGTTTGATTGGCTGAATAAACAAAACAGTATTTTCTCGCAAAGTCAAAAGACTTTTTCAGAACTCCCTCTTAATAAAACTCACTTGGGTAGCCTGCCCTATGGTTATGAGACTTGTTATAAACTAAATAAAAACTTAAGCTGCATGTGAGCTCCAAAACAAGCAACAGTCCTGGATACAATAGCCATGATTCAGTTTAATAGAGAAAARGAGCTCATGTTGCTGGTTCTGGAAACGTGGGGTTTAATAACAMCAGCAGCTGGATCACAGCCGAAAACCTAAAATCTGATTTACATTTACACTTTTATCTAGACTCAGAAGCAAATCTGAATTAACATTAAAATTAAACTACACTCGTCTCCAAAATGAACACTCGTAGGTGAAACTAAAAAGGTGCTGATCTTAGTCTAAAGTGAAGTAATCTAATTTGAGCCATTGGATAAAGTTAAAATAAATTCAGACACAGTGTTCTACATTTTAGTTCTTTAGCTTTCATTGAATAATTTTTGTTTTCTAGAATATTCTTAAGAAACTATTCAGTCTGGATGCTGGACAATTCCCTGAATATGCAGGATGTGTTATTACTGCAAGCATTTAGACAGCAGTTCTACTTTTTCTGCACAGGCTTTATCTGATGTAGTTATTTACCAGCCCTGCACTAGACAAACTCAGTGTTTAAAGTATGTAGCCATTTCAAGTATGCAGATGAGAGAGCTTCAGGTATGTTGATGTTATCCTGTGACTCAGGGACTCTACATGTTTGTCAGGTTGCAATCCTAACTAAAGGACATTTTCCAAAAATTGCTGCTGCATGTGCAGTCCCTTCAATTGGTCACTGAGCTCTTCCACCCTGTGTCTCCTCTCCTAGAATTTCTGTGAAGATCCCATTGTTATGAAAACCATAAATCCCCTCACAGAGACCTGAAACAAGCAACACCTCAGTGCTTCAGACATGACTTCAGAAATGAACTAGGCTAGATAGCTTATTTTATGCTATAAGGGTCAATAAAAAAATAACAAGCAAAATACAAAAAAAAAATTAAATTATGATGTACGTGGATTAAAGAAAAGAAAATGAGATATGTGTAGTGCTACAACACAGAAGAAAAATACCAAGTCTGTAGAAACAGTAACTCTGAAAATCAGGAATTATTTAGTCTGTTAATTTTTCCAATTCAGTTGTTGCTTCTTGTCATGAAATTAGTTGTGTGGTTGGAAACAATCATATTTTCTGTAGAATTTTTGCTATTAGCTTAGGACTACAAGATTAAATAGAATGACTGAAAGAAGTCAGGCTTGTGTGACACACCACACTTTTTATGCTACAGCACTTRAGTTCAAAAAACTTGTTTATGGGTTAATATCTGTGTGATAATCCCAAAGTCCTATAGCAAAACCTCTTTTACTCAGAGCAATTCAACAGTTTAAGATTCAGACAMTCAGTGGTCTCACCAGGAGAACTGCACTTTTTGCTGAGCATTCTGGAGTGGACATCACCTTCCCTACACGTTTTTGCAGCTGCACTTTCGTGTCCCTTGGACAGCAGTACCTTTCAACCACACTTGAACCATTTGTGTTTGCATACCTATGGCAGCCAGGGAGGGAGGGCCTGGCCAGTGGTCAGTCTCAATCTTTGGTATCTCGTTGGGTGCTGGTGCATGAGCTGCTGGGAACTTGGAGGACTTGATGATATCCTCGGAGGACTTGCTCTGTGCTGCCAAGGCAGCTGCATCTAGATGGCAATCAGGGAACTTAGCTACGTAATCATCTGGAGCAGGACAAAGGTCAGCCTTATTTTGGCAAAATTTTATGCTTTACAAGAAGTTAGTTTTCAAAAGCAAACATTTTCATGTTTTGCTTTTCCAATTSCAGTTTGAAGCAAAGCAATGCTTTTGTCTTGCCAATAGATTGGAACCTTCCTCTCCTCCCGCATCCCCACCCCAAGACAACCCCAAATCAGCTCTGGATTTTACTAGGGTTTCACTGTGTAGGAATGATTAGGCAAAAGCAAGAAAATGCAGCCTAGCAGTATTTGCCAACATCTCCTAAGGACAGCTGATTATTTCTGAAGATGAACTCAGATTTCCATACTAATAAGTCTTCCCTCTAGGGGAAGCAAAATGATAGATCAGAGTAACAGTACGAATTCTAACATTACTGATGCTAATTATTTCTTATATTTCYGTGAAAAGCTGCAAAACAAAGAAAAAAAGAAACCTGAAACAAATATGTTTAACTGGGGGATTTTTTTCATGCTGCATGCCTTGGCTTAGAGCATGCATCAGTAGTAAAAGAAGATGTGAACTTATTAATAAATACTGAACTCCATTCAGATCAACTTGGCAGGGCAAGGCACTTACAAAGCAATGAACCTCACCAATAAAATTRGCTTGATAGTGGGGCTTCCACTTCTAAGCCAAAGCCTTGTACAAGCATGTGAGACTGTGCATTATGGCTTTCTCTTCTTGACATTAAAAAAGAAAAAAAGAATCTAATAGGAGTCAGTGTACATTAAACCCAGCCTTAACTACCTCTGAGCTGGAAAACGTTAGCTCAAATTACCTTTGCTTTTATGAGGCTATTGCATCAGAAGTAAGGGTTCTGAACTTATTTTTCCTTTTCTCTCTTTTTTTTTTTTTTTTTAACAGAAAGACATCTTTTTAATGAAGAGATGCTCATCCAACGCATTCTGGGTTGTTTAGGAACATCAGTATTAGCTATCATTGGGAATTCTGAGCAGCTGAGAATTGGAAAACTCTAAGCATAACTGCAGGYATGGAGGAMGCTGGTCAGAGTTTACAAAAGCATGACTTCAAACAGTACTTACGTATTAGAATTGGTGATGTCAGTGGTTAAACATTCACATGTTAATGGGAGGTGAGGAGATACATTAAAACCATAAAAATAAACAGAAACAGTGTTAAGACTTTTTCCAAAATGAGCATATGGTTTGAAACTTAAAAAAAGAAAGAGGGGAAAACCCTGATGTGATACCAGAGCAGTAATTTGCAGTGCTCTCACTCTGGACTACAGAAYGGACTTGTGGGATCTCCTGCTCGTCCCAGCTCTGTGGCTCTTAACCAACTRTTCACCTAAGCCCTGCAGTGCTGCTGATTTGCCACTTGACCCTAAACACATTTCACTGGATAAAACATCTGCAAAGGCTGCAGAGTCAGAGCCTTTAAAAAGTGGAGTCATTTGTCTTTCACYGAGGTAAATAAAAACCATCTCCTGTGCAGAGTCTCCTGTTCACAGCGGGAGGGAAGAGTGGACACACTCCTTTACAATTCAACCTTCCCTTGTGGGACTAAAGACAGGCAGGGCCCTGGGCTTCTGCCATCATTGTCATTCCAGACTTTCTGTGACAACACCAGCACCAGATATCTTAGAGCACTAACACCGCTGTCCAACTCAGAACCCAAACCCTGGAAAAACAAGTACAGCAAAGTACCTGAGCTGCAGCACAGGGTTGAGAGTCAAATTAGCCCTGTCAATGATAAGTCACCTATAATATCTTCACTAATTACAGATTCTTATTTAAAACTGCAAGTACATTTGGAATTCCAGTCCGGTTATAACAGCCAAATCTTTGTTGTTGAAATAAATTATTGTACTGTGTCTGATTAAAATAAGGGTATTTTAATGAAGTCCTGTCAGAGATCAGTCTGCTGTTAATCCATTTTAACATGACCAGTACCTGTACTCATAAAATAAAAACTTTAAGAAGAGAATTGCTGAAAGGTATCATAATGCAAACAGCAAAATCCCAGCTAATGGCAATTTTGCCATTAATATCCACATGGCAAGATCAAACCATATTATCCAAATGAAACAACATGCTTTAAAMCATAACCACTTTCCAGGACATGCAATTACAGCCGCCTCAAGCTTGGACAACTCAATTTTTATGCTTACAAAGTAAAAGCTGAATGCTTTTYACTGATTGTACAGCTTTTAATTCACTTGACACTCTGTATTTTGAAACAAAAAGGRTAAGGTCATTTACCGTGTTGTTTGTAGATTGGCGGTTTCCTGTAAATGTTGACACCTTGATCTGTGATATCAAGAAACAGAAAAAAGGGAATATGAGAACTACTTCAGTTGTAGATAAAGGTAATTCCACCACTAAAGCAATAAACAGACAAAATCAAAGATGTAGCACAAGAAAAAGCCAGAAAGCTATTTCTAGTATTATACAAAACCAGATAWTTTAAAGGAAAGAAAACATAAGAACAAGTGAAAAGTCAAAGACATGTGGTATGGAGTCCTTTGGAGCTGATTCTGTAACATGTGGATGCATCAACTCATGAAACATTAATTTTAAAGTGGGATAAAAGTTAGAGAAGAAATGTAAACAGGCAAGACATTTCAATGGTGAAGATACAAGCCATTTGGGGAAAACTACCCCAAATAACTTCTGTGGAAAATTGTGCTTCAGTCAGAACAGCTCAATTTTCTTTCCAACCRACTGGCTGGATTGAACAGAGGAGAATGCAGTGAGCCTACAATTCACTTCAAAATCCAGAGAACAAAGCAGCTGCCTAGGACATTGTTTTGAACAGTCAACAACAGCCACACTTCAGTGAGTCAAWGGGATTCTTTACACAGTGTTCACTGATTCGATACTATTTCTCAAACAACAAGCACAGATTTCATTTGTAATTTTTTTTAATGCAAGGCCCACCATATTACCTACGTAAATCAGAATAAAAAACACTTCCCAGAACCCTAATGAAGTAAATCTACAGCATGTCTAAAAGATACCATATTTTTACAAATAAAAATCTAAGACAGGAACCATTTTGTTCTCAACTACCTTCCCACCCCAGCCAACACTTCATGTATTCGGCACAGCTACAAATACAAAGGCTAATCCAAAATCAGCACTACAGTGCAAAAATGTGCCAAAATCTTATTAGAAGAGCAAATTGAGCTACAGGGAGCTAGAAAATTAATGTCAGAAACCCATTTTGCTACTTTATAGTGCCTGAAAGAAGTTTTCATTTACCTTAGAATGAAAGATGAAAAGGAATTTCAGAAACACATGCGCTGYATCACAGATCCAATTAAAGGGCTACAGGAGACAACTTTGCTTGTGGCATTAAGGAGAACTAACCCTAAACAACTATTAAAATGGAAGCAAACCTTACTCTGCAGAGCCCTCCAACCTGACAAAACCAGGCAAACCCATGGCACACAAAGACACGGTGGTATTTCATTCTTGTGCGTGRTCTGTTATGGCCACTTGAGCAGCAAACAGGTCTGAACCCTAYAAGGGCAGTCACACAGTCCTTTTGCACACACAGACACCAGAAGGCTCCAGAAGGACGGGAGCACAGCTCCTTGTGTGGCTGCACAGCCCCAGMTRATGAGGAAAGCTCCCCCACCATGCTTCAGGTCATTCCTCACAGTTATTCATGCAATTAGGCTCGAGTTTAGGCAAGGCATTGAGAGCCATATGAGCTTAAGCGGTTAAAAGAGCCAACCTCAGCCAAGCCAGGTCACCCTGATGGAAAGGGGGAGTGCACAAACTGTTCATCTGTCCCATTTGAGGAGAGGGAGAAGGGCAGGAACCTCTGGCAGTGTGGAGGAACACGAGGCTGGAGAGAATCTGATTATAACTACAGATCAAGGCTTTCAGCTAGCACTGAAACAGCCAGATGCATGGTCAAACCCTCGGGACAGCTCATCCCATCAAAATCCAACACATGGTCTTCTCAGATGCTGGAACAACTGTAGAGCTCATTTCAAAACACAGACTGCCCTCCAAAAAGAACATCCTAGGGCACATATATCCTTATGGATCTGCAGGTCTCTCTGAGAGCACCAAGCCATTGCACAAAACAAGAACCAACCTTACCAGCTTTAAAAAAAAAAGGAACACTAAACTAGAACTGTTGGGTTCAAGAACGACACAAGTCACAACAATCTGAATGAATAACATTTGTAATGGCTCACTGGCCACCTCTTTTCTGCATGTGAATCAAAACCAACTCCTCTAAAATTAGCAGAGCTCAGCTGGTGCAACTGGGAGAAAAACCAAGCCCTGCACAGCTCATCTGCTGGCCATCAACAGGCCCTGGAAAACAATGAATTCTAACAGTGAAAAACCTGGCCAAGAAAATAGGTAAAAATCCCAATGAAACCCCCACGTTTCTTATGGCACTACTCCTCTCAGCAAACCCAGAAGCAGTTCCAAACCCCGAGGGTGCAACCCATGGTAAACGGTGTGAAAGGATGGAGACAAGACAGAAGTTACAAAGGCTACATTCTACACTGTGACAGGACAGCGAGACACACACGGTGCCAGCTCCTACCTGGAACATGGAAATGTTTAGGGGCCTGAGCGTAAGTTGGAGTGAGAGGGCGACTGTCAGGCCGATAGGGGACAGGGGAGTTCCGACCGCTGGACGGCTCATTGCCTCCAATGAAAGAATGGAGAAAACAAAATGAGAAGAGGGAGAGCAATAAAACAAAAAAAAAACCAAAAAAAAAAGCAAGCCCAATCAAACCCAAACAAAACCGGTGGAATCAAAACATCCAGGGAGAAAAAAAGTTGAACCAAAAGTATAAATACAAACAATAAGGAGAACTGGTAGTAGCCCTGGTGACTTTTTCCCCCCTGATATTCCTGCAGAGACAAAAAAAATTCATGTTCAGGCTGGAGTTGAGGTTTGAGCAGCTCAGACTCATTCTGACGGCATGCAGGCAGGAGCTGTGTGCTCGTAGCTGGTGATTAGATGGGCAGGATAGAAAAGAAGAATGGAAGGTTACTTGGCAATGATTTTTTAGTACGGAGATTGATATTTGGAATTAAAAGGCGCAAACACGGAGCGGAGTAGTTGATATGCAAACCCAAAGCAGGTAGAAGCAGATGCTGGCAAGTACTACAGTTCACTAAACCAAAAGTGTACAGAAACCAGAAACAGAAAATAGCTGTTAGGTCACTTGGCCCACATCAAAAACAGAACCTTTCCTTACACACTCTTTCATTGGTTTAGGAAAATCCTGATTTTCTAGGCAAAATAATTTGTAAAGCAGTGCAACCCATCTGGTGGCTGCRCCCACATCGTGCATGCCGCTCCAAATCTCTGTCTACGCCAAATTTGGCTCTGATGACAACACCTCACCACTGCTGATTTAGCAAATCTGAATTGAATACCTAAAAACCTTAATTCTATTTTGCACACATTGTTGGTTCCATTTGTAGGATTAATCTTACTGGGACTTCTCCTTTTCCTCCTGGCAATGCACCACAGCAATCCAAGGGCCCTGAAAGCTCCCGTGTCTTGTCAGGGTGAGAGGACTGCTGCACAACCACGATGGTTGATCCCAAGATGTAACAGCCAGATATCTGTTCACATGTCTTTGTGTGTACCTTGAAAGAATGCTGCTGCTTCTTTTATTGTACAGTTCTTCAAACTGGAGCAGACTTACACAAGGTAAAACCATCCACATGGGTGCTTATTTTACACGGCTGGGGGTGACCACAACACTGAAAAATAGGGAAGCATCAAACTCCTTCCATTTTTAAATACAAGGGTTTAAAAATGCCTAGAAATGCTGATTAAGAAAGCAAGAAAAAAAATGGAGGGCAGAGGAGGGAATTATAACAAATACAGGAGGACTATAAAACATTGGAAAAAATAAATTGCAGGCCTGTTTCCTGTGTCCTGTTAGAGGACACAGAACCTTAGACTCAGCACACTGTTTATATACTTGGGATGGGGAGATAGGTGTGGAAAAAGGAAAAAATAAGTTTTCWTTACAATTTACATGAAAAATCCTCTTTTACTTGAACAGTCACCTGCCAATCTAAAGGCACCCAAAGGGAGAAAAAGCATGCTCTTTACAAATCTTGCTGAGATGAGCCCCAGAGGCTTCAGCCAGTATACAAGTTAACCCACTGTATATGATATTTGCTGGCTGGTCTTGTATCTGGGACACAAATCATTTTTTAAGAGAGAGCTGGTGATGCTGTTTAATGCACCCAGCACCAGGCAGACCATGACTGTGGTATCATCCTGCAGGTGATGCTTCACAGATGTCTCTGTTGGTTTCTTTTCCTGAGGTACCCAATGCTAGCAGTGACAAATAACTCCACTTTATGCTTTCTAGGACAGCAGCCTCATCACCTCCACCCTCTGCAAGAGGGAATGGCACAGCTACTCAGATTCCCATTAGGCCATCCCTGAGGAGCCTGCTCTCATAACGAGCCTTAAGTGCTTGGGATGCAGCTGCAAAACCACCCACARTTCCTGGAAGCTGCACCAACATCTGCAGAATGTGCACACACACAGAGGAAAGCAGAGCTCCCTGTACCTGCCTCCCACGGCCTCATGGCCAGTCTGCTTGCAGCCTTACATAAAAACCCATTAAATCTGGGTTCCTTGCCTGCACAGGAAAATCTCTCTTACTGTCTCAGATATGCTGTACCTACAGTTAACTCTCCAAACCAACAAGAGCACTCCAACACTGTAGAAAAAACTAATTCACACGCCCCTGGCATGAAGTAGAATGTCTGTGTATAGGTGGGGGGATGTTAAAGAGATAATGGAACAAGCTCAGTCTAAAAATCAATCACTAGAGCACAGCAGAAGGGAAATTCAGAGGCTTTCCCCCCCCCTTTCATTCTCTTTGCTCCATCAGATGTTTTCTGTAGCTGAATTTGTTAGGCAGGTTGCCCTAGCAGTCAGGAATAGAAATGCTTGCCTACACACAGCCCAGCGTAAKGCAGGTCCCTGCTGCCTTCTGAGGTGCTCCCCACTGGGCTCACTGTGGGATTCACAGCTCAGCACACAGAATCAGGCCAAAAAACCCATATGCAACCAGCACCGAGCCTTCTGTCAGCTTGCAGCCAACACGGAGCCTTCTGTCAGCTTGCAGTTTGGCTGCTCTGCTTCTGAGCAGGCATAGGAAAACAAGCTCAACAACACCTGAAACCCTCACTCCTATTCAGCTTTTGTCAAACTATCATTCATCCTCTTGTCCAGATGTGCAGCCTTTATTTCAGTCACAAAACTAGAAGTCATGAAACAGCCAAAACACAACTGTTTTCCAGAGCACTCTCACCAACCTCCACAAAACCCTTAAATAGTTATCAGGTACAGAAAGCATTTGATTTCAGAGACCTGCCTCAGGTGAGGAAAGCAGGAAACTTTGAAAACCAAGATCCAAATTCCCTGTGAAGGTGGGTAGGTTCCTCATGGGAAGGTCTGTGAGCAAAGGAATACACATTACATTGGAACTCTTTTACATGGAAATCTTATGGGGGCTTTGCAATATTCTTGAATGCCTCTGAAAAATTCTAGGCATGTGGGATGAAATCCTGGCTCTCAATGAGAGTTTTGTCTCTGATTTCAGAAGGGTCAGGSTTTCTTTCATTCGTGGACTTGTTTTGATTCTTTCATAGCAAAGACAGTACTTTATTGAGACAACACCAAATTCAATAGAGTGTCCAAATTAGATTAAATGAAGTCTAAGCTGATGCATATAACACACTCTTCCAGCTTTTTCAACATATATGTAATATCAACAAACTCTCACTAAGATTTTCTGAGGGTATTTAGCCCATTTCACTCCTCCAATTTCTTTATTTTTGGCTATGTCTATGAGGCTTAATCATTATGYTTCTTTAAGCCTTATGTTGTATGAAAACACACTGAAACTGGTCTAAATGTCTGCTTTACTGGCTTGATTATACAAAATACCAGAGGTGTAATGTGTCATGTGACACTTCAGTTATCATGCTGCTGGGAAATCACATCCCTTTACCAAAGCAGTTTAGACACAATCTGTATTTTTTGACTCCTAAAGGAAAAAACCCCAAAATTTGTAGCTTTTTGAAATCTTTCTTACAAACTTACATCAAGTTCACTTCCTTGCTAAAAGTACAAGTGAGAAAGGTTGAGCCAGTAAAAAGAACACATGGTGCCTTTTCTGTCTCAGTGATTTGAATTTGAGTTATGACACACAAATGCTGTCCAGGCCTTCAGAAAATTGAGGATTCTTACAGCATCTTCCATGACACATCCGATAAAAACCAAACCCATCCCTCTGTCTACAACACTTGTAATCCCACTTGGCCTTTTGTACCAATAACTGAGAAAGACACCYGATCTACATGCCAGGAGATTCTTTCAAATCTGAAAACAATAAGCATGGATTTCCAGTAGTTCTTCTGATTTATCTGTTGAAGAGGGTATTTTCTCAACAGAAAAAGAATGAAAATGCCACTTGAAAGAGTGTGAGCATTAATCTGGATTTACAGCAAAAAAAAAAAAAAAAAAAAAAAAAAAAAAAAAAGAAAAAAAAAAAAATAAAAAAAAAAAAAAAAAAAAAAAAAAAAAAAAAAAAAAAAAAACTTTGAAATTGCAAGGACTATGAATTAACTGCATGCTGAAATGAGGAGTGTATCTATTTTTAAGGGTCCCAATCTTTTTAAGTGAGATTTTTTTAGATAGTGATATAATAGGAAAGCGGACAGTGCAGATTGTCAAAAATCATCTAAAATGAGGCAAGAATAAAACTAGCAGTGGTGATCTAAATCACAGGCCTGAAGAGCTATGATGTTGACATCTATTAGCATTTCTTGAAAGTTCATGGCAACAACTTTCTTGTAACTACTTTTAATTATCTCCAGTTTATGAATCTCTACATTAACCAATGGTGCCAGATTGGAATCTACGTTCAATCTACTCAAATCTCTCTTTTTTAGCTCTTTTAAATGATAYAAAYRATGACCTTCTCCCCCAACAGAAGARATGGCCCAGCCAAGTGCTCCAATAAAAATCAAAGTAAAACCACATTCACAGAAAGCAAAAAACAAAACTAAAAGCTCATTAAGCAAAATGAATTCCTTAAARGGGCACAGTGAAAGAAAAATCCTCCTCCAAATCAAATAATGGAAAATAAAAGACTGAAAAAGAGACCAGATCCTCAGATAATGTAAATCCTTGCATTGCTACTGCCTTCAGCAGAGCCTGCTGATTTGCAATAGTTGAGGAKAGGCCTAGAGATTTTAATTTTACTTTTTGGGCCCTAATTATTGCCCATGAGAATAACAAAGATTGACTGCTTTGTTGCCATTGATCTTTATGTATTTTCTTCTGTGTATTTTTGATCACCTTTTCATCATTCAGGCAATACTGTAGTCAATTTTTTCAATGCATGTTTTAAGAATGTGGCAGTAATAATTAAATTTGATAGGCCTACTGCTGAAGGGATTGTTATGTACYGCTTTAGAAAGAAACTRAATTAGGCACATCTARGWKAYAAATGACAATGTTTTTCTGTGTTTTTCTACCAGGTAAATCCTGGAAAGGATAACAGGTGTCTTAAATGTCCRTTTTTRTTTTTYTTCTCCTTGTAAATTTTTCCCTATCTTTGTTCCYCTCCCCRGTGCSRTAGTATTCTTAGYASTTTKTAGTAATAAATCTATTTTGCAACTTAAGTTATTCAGCCTGTCTGACCATTCTCTGGAGCACATAYGTAYCTTTCTSTCAATTATGTTATGTTATCTGCAAGCCATAAATTTTAATTGGGCTTTTGCTCTCCCTTCTCCCTCTCCAGTGGGGGGAAGGGAGAGAACGYCGTGGGTGCAGTGCTTTTTGGCTTTCAGCACAGTCCAAACCACGACACTCTTCAACTAGGGCCCTTAGAAATGACATATTTCCTCCAAAAAAAAAAAGGAGGAAATTCTATTCTAATGTAGTTCTGAGTGCAACAGCACATTTCGAGGCATGCTCAGCTGCACAGCCATAGGCAACCTGCCAGAGCTACGCCTTATCAGCTCTGCCAGCAGGCCAACAAATCTCCAGCCTGGAGGRTACTCCCTGGAGAGGGGCCTGGCTCCTTACCTTTGCCATGGGGGATGAAGTGGTGTCGGAAGGGGGAGTTGGGGCGGGAGTCATGGAGAGCGGGGCCGCGGCTGCCCGTGCGCGGGGGCTGCACACCCAGAGCCAGCAGCTCTGCGGCACCCAGAGCCGGGGGGCAGGACAGAACGGAGACAAAGAAAAGCAATAAGAGACAGGCAGGGAAGGAGGCTTCGAAGGAAGGAGAAAAAACAAACAAAAAAAAAAAGGCATTGAACAATTAGGATTCTGGAAAGAAGGAAGGAGGGAAAAAAACGAAACGGTTAAAGACGCGCCAAAGGGTCCGTAAAGGTTAGACAAAATTACAGGATGTGTTAGAAGAGAGGCTTAGGTTTGAACTGCAGCGCTAATTTAGCGTAACATCATTGGCTTAATGAGCTTCTGACCAGGCCTTGGTACCAGAAAGCAGCCTGCTACCAGCATGCAAACATCACAAACATCGACGCTCAATTAGTTAAGAAAGCAGCTGGTTTGAAAAGTGCCTGACCAAAAAAATGTCAGTCAAGAGGCATGCAAGCTGTTTTCTATTGTTTTAAGACATTCCAAAAATGCTGCCAACATCAGCTGGGGCACTGCAGGAGGAAAAGGCTGCAAACTTTTTCAGAACTTATAGCACTCAATTTTTGAAGAACCTTATGCTGACAACATCAGTACAGTTCACTTCTCTCTCAAGGGCTAGCTATGAGCAAAAAGAGAAGTTATCTGGGGCCACTGGGTTTATTCACAGAGAAATTTTTCTTGCATAYAAGATGGTGAAAAGAAGTGCCATTAGGAGGCAAAAAAGTACATAAACGTGCTATTATTCAACATGAATAATTACTGTAGGAAAATAATTACTGTCRGAGAATTATTAAAGTAGCTTTAACAACTGCCCCGAAAAAGGGTAGGAAATATCAAATGATGAATTGTACAGAGTTACTTCTGTGTCATATGAGGAACAGTAACAGGTGAGCCCAAGATGAGATCATCCGAACAGAGATAAATTTGAACAAATATCTTCTCAGAAAATCCTCCAGGCTGTGGACTTTGGAAGATTTTACATTTGGACCCAAACTCTGGCTTGAGCCCATCTGCCCATCACAAGAATTACATAAACAGAGATTCCTTCGGGGGAAGGTCTTTGACTGAAGACAGACAGTAAAATTCAATCACAGTCGTCTGGAATAGGGCCTGAATTTGTTCATATCCTTGATACAACYGGTAAAAATGGAAAAATCCCCTCARAACTGCCAAAATCAAGGGRCAGAAGTTTGCAGCTTTTTCACATTTTCAAGTCTCTTTCAGTTTCAGTTGTAACATCATCTTTAAACACAGTCATGTTGTCAGCACTAAGGATCAGACACAATTTGCTTCTGTCCCACCTCCCTTGGGTCCCTTAAATAAGGCATTCACTGACAGACACAATTGGCTGCTTTCAGCCCACCCCCACTAGGAAATGGCTACAGCATTCAAGTTCCACAGTGGTGGCTCTATTATAAATCTTTAATTTTAAAAATGCAGCTCCTATTGCATATGGGCTTTTGGCATCCCAACTGTTCAGCTGTAATCACCAAGGAAGATGAAACCGTGCGATTGTATCACTTAATTTAAAAACAGATCACAAAGATTTGATTCATTACCATACACAATAAAATCAGTCTTGAAAAGTCTTCAATGAATAGCATTTAGTGATACATTTTTATGCAGTTTGGGTGTGGATGAATAGCTCATTTTCATATCTTRCTTTTAGATACACAACCAGTAATTCTGAAGGCACTGGGAACCTGAATGACCTGTACATTTTCTATATTGTACATAGAACTTGCACATTACTGCTAAACTGAAAAATTAAGTTTGTGTTTTCAAGTGTTCCCAGGCAACTGCCTATGGGTTTAATTAAGAAAATACCTTGTGAACCATGAGTCCATATCTTAAGAAACGACGAGCAATTTGGAACATAAGGGTGTTTTGCTTCTGAATAAGAGATTCTTTGGCTGTGCCAGGCTTTAAATGAATTTTTTACAAGGGAGTAACCCTACATTGCTAACTTCTGTACAGTCAAGCCATAATTTTTGTTTCCAATTTGTGATACTTTTCCTGGATTCCAGAATGAAGTTTGCGATTTACTGCTGCAAATTTTCCCTTGCTTTCAGAAACAGGTGGAAATTTTTTAAATAGTTGATTGGAAACAAAACCAGAAGATGCATATTTATGGTGCAAGAAACAGTCAGCCTAGTGCAAAAAACTATGTCAATCAGGAACAAAAAAAAAAACAAAACAGAAAATGAGACATTAAATTACACATCAATTTTCAATCCAAAACTTTCAGTTCTAAGAGAAAGAAGTGCTTCACTGCACCACTGAGAGGCATGATAAAGAAATAACAGTTCTGCATGTTTTGCAATGCAGTTGCCCTTACCAGGTCTGTGGAAATGCTGGGGGGAACGTGACATGGTGGGGGTGTAGCTGTGCCGACTGTACACGGGSGAGTTAATGGAGCCCTGGCTGGTTGACCTGTGAATCATGCGGTCCCGAAGGTCCTGGTAGCCCTGCAGGACAGAGGCATCCGCTGATMAATGTAAATGCATTTTACACATTTTTAGCAGAACTCAACTTCTGTGGATCTGAAGGCATCAGCAGAAGCGACTGGAATAGCAACATCCCTTAAGCTTGCAGCCCACTTCATTAGCACTGCTCTCCAAGGATCTGCTCCAATCCCTTTTTATAGTCTGGGTCAGACTGCAGTCTTGGAAGGTTCCAACTCCACCTGTAATTTCTATAAAATCCTCAATTTGCCCACATTCCCTSACTCCATAAGGGAAGCTGCATCCAGAACATGTGTCCTGCAGTGTCCTGCACAAGACACATGAGCTGGCCATCAGTGAGCTAACCTGGAGACCAGCAAGAATTCAATATCTGCAGCACAGAGCTCCCTGTGGCTAAATTTACCATGTGTCACAACCAGCTATATGAGCAGGTATTTATATCCAAATTAGATTCCCCATGTATCTGAAAATATGGCACCTTCTTGTATAGCAAAATTCAGTGTACTTGGATTCCTGGGGGTAAAAAAGCCAATAAATGAAAGAATCAATAAACCTCAAAACAAACAACACCCTCACCTCCCCACCTCTCCATGAAGCAAACTAAACCAGGACAAAAGGAAAAAGGGCTGATGTCAATGCATGAAGATTTACAAGAAATTTTATAGCCCCTTAATTTTTAACTAGTAGCAATCAGTACAACTTTWWTGTTGCAAATAAGCAACAKGATAATGCATTGATAATGATTCTGYGTGATCATCTATTGTATCCCGCAAATGACTTTCCAAAATTTTCACGTTATTATGATGTTCAAATTAACTCCTCTGGCAAAGCAAAACCAAACCAGACCATAGCTATGTTTTCAGGACAAAAATGCAGCTATTTCAGTAGCAAACATRGTTATTATTTAGATGCTTAGAGCAGCATTTTATCTCCTGTAAATCCTGCAGCTCCCGGGATCTGAATCCTCCTGTGCCACAAGGAGCAGGAATGTGCCAGAAGTGACGCCTGCTGGCCAAAGGGCTCTGCTTTACAGACAGCAATCGGGCATGAGTGGCAGCTCCACTTTTTGTGCAATCTGTCAATAAGAGCTCCCTCTTTCCTTCTTAGAAACAATTTTTGTTAAGTTTCAACATTTGGAAGACATGTTTGTGTGGCAAACAGAGATGGATCTGATGGATGACAAACCCAACACCTGCATTGGCTCGAGTGAATAATTCTAATCACGGTAAGATACTGCCCCCAAAGGTGCCATCAAACTTACTTCTGCAGAAGGGGTAGGTGATAATGTCCTTGGAGACTGCAAAGACATAAAACATAAGGTTATGAAATATTGCATATATGGGCCAGAAAAAGGTAATCTAAACATTGCTGCAGATACTCTGATGTAATGTAAAGTGGCAATGCAGAAGTTACTGAGGCCATTCCAACACCAGAACCTGCTTTTTCCACATTGCTTGGAACTGGTCCATAAATCACTGAAGTTTAAAGTTTCTGGGAGAATCTTTGTAAGCGTGATTAACTCAGTCAAGTATCATGCAAGATCATCTTAGCCATCTAATCACTGTGGTAATTAAAACATAGCTGTAAAGATCAAAATCAGAAAGAGTTATTAATTTAGTAACCATGCCTGTTATGAAGAAATCTTTCAAATGGAAATTGAAAGTAAATAAACTTAACTCAGAGCTTTGCATGGAAAATCAAAATACAGATAATCTTTCAGGATGGAGCATGTTTTCCCTCCAACACACACACTCTGGCAAAAATGTGCATCTCCCCAAGGCCTTCCATTTCATACCCATGCAAGAGAGCACGTAGTTGTCATCAACATTTCTTTGATATGACCTCCTTTAAATCTCTGTGTTCCTCCATGGTAACGTAAGGAGAACAGACAGGAATTACATGCATGTGTATTGAATGACTGCACAAAGGCCAGTGGGCAGAAATATGCACAGTATTATGAAAAGTTTCTGTAACACAGACAGGGAAATTGAGSCAAGGAATACCTTTAGAAGAAACATATGATTATGCATATGCTGATGGTACAAACAAGAATAAAGGCTATGTGTAATTACCAGTTATGTGCCCTTCAACCACCAGACATTTAATTTGAAGCTGGAAAATCAGGACTTAATTATTTCCTTTGTGTACAAAACTTCAATATTATTTGTCATAATAGACTGGTCAAGATATTATACTCCTAAAAATAAGACCACAGTTATTACAGAATGATATAGCTATTAAGATAATATCTCAGAAGCTAAATTGCTGATTCTAGTCTGACTACCATATTAATGTACAACAGCAGTAGTGAGAAATGTATGAAGAGTTTTTGGTAATAAATATCCAGCTGATAAATATCCATACATTTTGGATTGAGAGACCGTTCATTCTAGTGGAGCTGGTGACACTGGGAATGCAAAGTATCCAAAGGAGCAACATTTTTTATTGGATGAAGGATGTCTCCTTTTCAGCAAGTTTCCATAAAGCTGTTAAAGACTGTTTTTGCTACTTCCCATCAAAGCCTTGAAAGTCTTTCACATTCTCATTTTCCTAATTCCTACYATCGAACAGCAGCAGCTGTAAAAACTTTGCTCTACATGAAACATACCRTGCACAGCACTTTGGAACAACACTGTCCACAAAAACTGAGAGCTAACCTAAAACCTTCAAAAAAGCACATGTCGTGAGGTGCACTCCCACATTTTTCTACTAGCAATTCATGCGTTGGTCTCAATAAATGAATTTCTACCATCTGCTGGGGTTACCTGGATGCTGAGGAAATGGCTGCAGTAAAAGGTAGTCACAGGAATCTAAGACTGGGAAGGCAGCCCAGAACATAGTGTGCCGAATTCAGGTATTTTTCCTTTCATGGGTTTTCACTCCATCACTAGCTGACATAATCCCATTGTTTTTTTGGGTAATGGAACCACACTCTGCAGCCAAGTCMCTGCTTTAGCATGCACAGGTGAACTGTGAGATCTGGAGCTCTGAGGCTGCCAAGGAGWGTTTGCTTCTCCAGATCTTTTAAAACCTGGTCTATCACAGAATGACACGATGGTCAGTTTGAGCCACAAACTGACTGTGTGGGACTGAGAAAAGCAGCTCCAACCCAGAACAGCAAACCAGTGGGAATACAGTCATGACTCTAAGAGGGAAGGGGAAAAGGAAGAGGAAAGGAAGAGGAAAGGGGAAAGGAAGGAGAAGGGAAAGGGAAAGAGGAAAGTGGAAAGAGGAAAGAGGAAGGCCTGTTCTGACCCAACTTATGTAAAAATTTCTACTGCAACAGGGTCAATTCTCTATTGCTTTGATATCTGAGGGTCTGATCTAATATCTGAAGCCATACTTCAGTTGTAAAAAAAGGTAATTTTGTGCTCTGGGAAGTTTCTGCCAACTTTTACAGATGTCATCCTGCAACACAAGTTCCATCCAGCATTTCACATTGATGCCATTTTAGCTGTCTGTAAACTGAAATACCAGGTGGGATCCCTGCTCCAATTTGAAGCATTTATCACATTAGAAAAAAGTCCATTTCATCCTTTGTGCGCTTGTTTAGTGAAAGGTGTTACAGCACATTCAGTGCTTTCAAAAAACAGAATACTTGAAATAAAAGACATGAAGTGCTGCTTCTCCAYATATACCAATAAAAGATGGAGCTGAGAAAGGATTACTTCAGTGCTCATCAGGATACTGCTCGCTAGGCAGAAGTGATAGGTCCTGAAGAACCTGAATACCTGACACTTTCTGGACGCTTTCTCACTCTGTTGCGGGCCAGCCTCGGGAGCAGAAGATTAATTTCCAATCTGGTTTGTGTTTTCGGAGCCCGTTCACAGGCGGAGAAACAGCGCGCTCCCCGCCAGAGGGCGCGGGGAGAGAACGCGGCTGCAGCGCCGGGATGGAGCCGGGATGGAGCCGGGATGGGGCCGGGATGGAGCCGGGATGGAGCCGGGATGGAGCCGGGATGGAGCCGGGATGGGGCCGGGATGGAGCCGGGATGGAGCCGGGATGGAGCCGGGATGGAGCCGGGATGGAGCCGGGATGGGGCCGCGATGGGGCCGCGATGGGGCCGGGATGGAGCCGGGATCGAACCGGGATGGAGCCGGGATGGGGCCGGGATGGGGCCGGGATGGAGCCGGGATGGGGCCGGGACGGGGCCGGGATGGAGCCGGGAGAGGGATCGCGGGTGGGAACCCGTCCCCTGTCCGGGCACTGCCCTCCCCCTGCCCCATTGTCTTCTCACTGCCATGCTGTGTTTTCTCGCTTTCTGGGGCTGAAGTGCAGAATTTTCTCGCAGCGTGTTCCCTAATAATTAATGTTTGTGTCCCCCTCTGGATTAACTTCGGTGCCTCTTGCGCATCTCCCCTTGTACATCCAAAAACCTTTCTTTGCTGAGACTTGGGATTGTTTTTCTTTTYAAATCATGGTGAGGGGCATTCCTAGTGTAAAAGCATAAACTGAGTGTCCCCTTTTATTTAACAACACCACATACACACCCTTTGCAAAGAGAATGCAGGGTAAATCCCTGTCTGCACCATTTAACATGTCACCTTCTTTGCTTTTTACAGATGATGGGGACTGATGTGCGTTGTACCAAGATTGCTGTCACTCGATTACCACAACACAAACACAGGGTAAGGSATCACTCCACCCCAATGGGCTTGCATTCTCATTAGGGCAAGGGAAGRGAGGAGAAACAGATACAAAGAGGTGAGGTAACTTGCCCAAGGTGACAGAAGTCAGCACTAGCATTGGGTGAAAGCCCAAGATCTTCTGAAAAGGTGAGAGCCCCTTCTGTTCACAGAACAAATTTCTGCAGTCAGTAGAAATTAACTGAATTTAATGCTGGTGAAAATATGGTATAAGAAAAMCCCGAGGGCTTTTGCTTATTCCCAGAACAAGTATAAAAGCAGGCAACTTACACCATATTGCTTTATCAGCTTCCAACATACTGCTTTGTCAGTAAGAAGCTTCCCTTAAAGGATTAGCAAATAGTTCACCTTCTCTGGTGAGATTAGCTCCCCCTGTGTGACTAACAAGAGAATTGGGTTTGTAGCAGGTTTTGTGGAATGGGTCAGGCCTGTTGGAACTGGTCAGAGGTCACCAATGCATCTCACGCTGGTTTTGAACTAGATATCAGCTGGATGCACTACCAACATAAATTGGAGGGGAGAAAATCTGTAATGCTCTGACCTGTTAATCTCTTATTTTATTCCTGAGCTGAATTTCCAACTCATGATTTAAAAAATGAACTCCACAAAACAYTGAAGAACAAAGGAGAAAAACTGATGCAGTTCTGACTTGCAACTTATTCTTCRTAATTCAGTTACAGTCAGTAAGGCCATTGAGATTGCAGCAGTAAATCCATTTCCACATCCATTTAGATTTGCATTCAGGAAGTSTGATTCACAGACAGATGGGATTACATGACAAAACCTGCTTCACAGACTGCACTGGAAYCGTGTAAATATTAATTATAGCTATGAAAATTCACCTGAGAAAACTGGGGACCAACACTCTGAAAGATACCTTTACACTCAAGTTTAGAAGAATAAATGACCATTTTCTTATTGCTGCATGATACAAAATGTCAGCAGGTTAAAATGTGAGGCAGGTATTTCTGTAACACAATTAACCTGCTTTCCCAGGTGGAAGAGCACTTCATGCTGACACAGTTCAGATTTTATCCAGCGTGTCTGGCAAAGTGCTCTGCTGATATGTCTTTCCCTTTAGTATCTGTGAGATAAGCATCCTGCTGCTCTTGGTCCATAGATTATCATAGCACCTCTCCTATTCCCTTGTGAATATTGGTGCTCCACAGCACAGCAGCACACTGGTTTTTCCCTCACCTTCTGGACTTTGCCATTCCCAAGGATCAGGGTATCCCTGGGAGTTCAGAGGATGCACACAGACACAGCCTGCAAGCCTCCCCCCTGTCATTCCTCTGCAGGTGTCAATGCAGGTGTCCAACCCTGCAGGGTCCCACACGAGGCAGCAGCGTGAGTGTTCCCATCCCCCAGAGCAGACAGACACAAAGCAGTGTGAACAGCAGCAGTCTCCAGCAGTGCCATGGGCAGCCAAGCAGGCTCTGGATGCAGTGAGTGCACAGTGGAATGAGGTGCTGGGGGGGTCATTACCTCTCCAAGACTCTGTCTCTCCTGTCTGTCCTCGTAGGCGGAAGTGTAGAATGGCTCATAAGTAATTAGGTCTGGACGTTCAATGTCATAAATGGCCTTGACTTTGGGAATGGCTGCTAAATCCTTGTAATCAAGGATTTCATTGTCTACTTTTGCCTAAAGGTCAAAGACAGAAGATAAATTAACTTACACAAATGCACTGGCAATTTCTGTTTTACACAATTTACGATTTTGTGTATTTGTTGTCATGCTGCTGCTATGGAAACCCCTTTTTGGCACCCTACATGTGGGGTGAATGCTTCTTGTTCTTCTCCAGCAGGCCTCCTCTGCAGCAGCTCACAGTGTTCTCTCTTTTCTTAGGGAAGAAAGAACATGGCATATATAGATCTATTTACAAAAGTTTCTTATCCCCAGTAGAGAGCTGGAAAGTTCAGCTCTGCAAATGACTCATTTTGTGGCCTCAGGCAAGTATTTTCACCTTTCTGCTCTTGTTTTCCCATATGTAAAATGGGTGATAACATCAATTTAGTTYGCAGATTACAGAGATTACGAAAGGATTTCATGCTGAAGACCACAGACAGATACTCAATTTATAACTGTGCACACAAGAGGAAACAGAACTTATTGGAAGGAAATAAAAAGACAAGGAGGACTGTCAGGACTGGGTATCCAAACTCCCAAATGAAATTATTACATTTCATTCATCACTCATCCTATGCCCAAACTTCTGAATAAAGCATCCACTGCTTATCAGCTACATGGTGCAAGCATGGACTGTTTTTTTCCTCTAACACTGCAAGGAGATCTTGTTACTTAAAATATGAAAAAGGAAATAAATTCCAAAGTCAGCTGCACCCATTAGAGGGTGATAGAAAGAGGCCTTACATTTAGTTTAGAAAACTAATATCTCTCTTTACTTACAGAAAGACATCATACATTTTTACCTACCTTACAGAAATTAATTGCTGACTAAAACTGAAAGAAGATATTCAAATGGCTTTTCAACACTTCTACTAGATAATTTATGCACTGATAGTAGATTGCATARTGAAACTCACATTCAGTTCTGTTCTACCTGAGTGCTAACACCTAGTAATTTCAGATTAACATGCATTTGCCTTCCCAAGCTCTCCAACAACCACTGCTCTTGGTGGTTCTTAAGCAATACCTTAATAGAAACAATACAAAACATTTCTTGCCAGAGAAGCAAGGCCTGAAACAGTTAGGACATTCACTGTCTAAAAATAAACTCAATTCTGTTACCAGATAYAACAAAATACCTTAAGTCATTTTAACCCTTAAAATATTTAGATGTATTAATTTATGCCATTTCTGTAGTATTTTTACCACAGTCTGTTAATGAGCTGCAAATATGTCTGGAAACTCTTAATCCAATATAAATTACTACAGATATTTTTGCAGATCCTGATCTAGGCCACCATRTTGCCCTACAGACAGTGATTTTGAGCAGCAACTAAATTTCATAAATCACATTTTATGAAGTTGATTTACCTACAGAATGGCAGTTCTCCAGGACACGCCTTGTCTTTTGATATCTGCAGTGTCAACACTTTTCATACATCAGTTTATTTTTGTGGTTGTTGAAATGGATAGAAGWACTAGTGTTTAACTCAGGACATCAGATTTGAAATTTTGACACTGTTTCTGCATTATTATAAATGTAACTSCCAAATTTCTGTGTTTTATTGTACATTTTTATCTATATAATCTCAAGGTTGTCTATAAAATCAGTGATTAAACATTATGCTTAAAAACACTTTCGTTCTAAATTAAAAACACCATTTCTTTCACAACCAGAACATCTGAAATGGAAGATGTTGGATCAGCCAACTTCTTTCAGAGGAGCTGACCCCGTTCCCCAAGTGCAGAGAGCAGATCTCTCAAAAATTGTGTATCAAAGTGCACRGATCTCACAAAATCCTTACAAAGTCAAATGACCCCTCTGCCCTCAGTCCCTCTTCACACCACCAAGTGACATCAAAAGATTTACTGTACCTTTCCMAGAGAAATGTGACCTGGAAAAGACCTACCCTGCTCTTGAAATCCTGCAGTTATAAAAGCTGCATGACAAAGGTTTTAACAATTTAASCACTAAAATAAAATAAARCATCAGTATCRAAGTSATTTATTTCAGCATGAGTAGTTCAYGTGCAAGCAAAGGCTTGGCARCTTGTTCAACAGATGGAATACTTACATAGATAGTGTGGCCTGGAGAGCCAGGTATACTGGAACCTGGTCTGGAATAAATGCTTTCTGATGATGTTCTTGTAGGCTGAAAAACAAAATKGAACTTTTGAGAGCAATCTGAAGCCATTAACATTGGCAATTTTAAGTGAAGAAAGCTGGATAAATCTTGAAAATAACTGAATTTAGGAAAAAACATCAACACAAATGCAAGCATTCTGGCAAATTCACAATCTTGTGAGGCAAGTGGGCTTTTTTTTTCTTTTTTTTTTTGGTAGGGGAAGGAGTGGTGTGAGAGGGGAAGAGGTTTTCTRAATCAGTGTAAGAGACTAGACTGACAACAACCATGAACAAAATCCAACTACACCTGCCAGAGTCACTGTAGGAGCCATACAAAGAACCATCCAGGATGGTCCTGCTGGCCATTTTAACACGTTAGTTCACAAAGCACTGTAGGGAGCAGCAGTCCAGCAGACAAAACTCTTGTGAGGAGCACAGCACACAYGTTATCTCTTTCCAGGTGTTCAATCCCTGGATTTCCATCAGGGGTGTGATCATCAGAACTGAATTCAGCCTTCCTAACAAAAGGATCTGAAATCCTTTGCTTGGAGCTGTTCCCTACATCTGCAGCACAACCAAGATGTGGCAGGAAAGTCAAATGTTGGTTGAAATGTCATGATTGCCCATACTGCAAAAAGTCACAATGTTCAATGGCAATGCCCTACAAACCAAAACTCAGGAGAACACTCTCATCCCTACAGAGCCAGTGCTGCTACATCCAGAAGATTTTCCAACACTTTGTCAGGACTAAACAGACACTSATGCCCTGCCTGGTGAAGTTTTGTGAGAGGTGACAAAATAATTGGTCACCAAGATGTGGGGAACCTGAAAACCTGAAAAGCATTCTAACTGATCAAAAGCCACCCAGGTTATTGTGACAATTACTCCTAAACTTGGCACTCAGCAGATACACAAAGGTAGTCAACCATATCCCAACTACAACTGAGAAACCATGAATTTCTGCTCCCTAATTGACTGCAAACAACCAAATCCCATCACAAAGCCCTGTGTCAGCAGATGATTCTGATGATACCAGAGCAGTGAAAGATGTCAAAGTCACTCAAAATTAAATGCTGGTAAACAGTCCTTACCTCATCAGCCTGTGATGTGAGGGCCCCCTGGACTAAGGGACCTTCAGGCACATCTGAAGAGAAACAAGGCTTGACAGCCTGGCTCAGGATATTTCTTAGGAAATATTGGAGTGAACACAAAAAGGCTACTGGACCTATCTTCTCTCTCAGCATACATTTCCTGAAAGAACCCTTCAACTGACCCCAGAGACTTTCTACTTCTAATTTCAAAGCCAGAGAAGCTATTGGAACCATCTGTATATAAATGCTGAAGACTAGTCATGGATACCACGGCAGGCTTTCTCTGACTTCACTTTTGAAAATGAAGTCACCACATTCAGGGAGGGTTAGAGAAACAAAAGGCTTTGAATATGTTCCACCAAAAAACGTAAGATTCGGATCAAACAGAGAGCAGATGTAGCTGTGGACTGACRCAGTCACAAATCCTCTCCAGAGTGTGTATAAGAACACTTTCTCAGAAGGATCTTTGCATTTTTCTCTCTGTAGCTGTAAATTCCTACATCTCAAAAGGCAACAGAAATTTCTCATCTGCCCTTAAGCTCCTCCCATGATGGAATCAGACAGAAAAACCCAACAACAAGCACTTGTTTCATGGAAATGTTACAAGAATTGAGCTGGAAAATCTGGCTGTGGTTGAGAAACACTTTATTCCCCTTTCCATTCTTCCATTTCACTCTGAGTGGAGACACATGTARCATGTTGCTGCAGTTACTATGGAAAACAATTGTTTTCATTACAACATGGGCAACAGTACTAAGTACTTGAGGTACTGTTAGGGGTTTCTCTGTTACCTTTGGCTTTTGGCAGACAGAGAGTTTTGTCTGCTCAATTCTCCCCGTTGTAGGGAAACAAGTGTTAGAGGCAGTTATTCCCACTTGGCAGGCCCTTTGGATCTTTCATCATTGCCTCAAAAAACAAGAAATTCTCAGTCCTTGCTCCAGTTCCTTAGTCTCATCTTTTAGTGCCACRGCTAAAAATCTCTTCATTTAAGGAAAATTCATTTGCATTTATCACTTCAGTTAATTTGTTTAATAACRTTAGACACCTTAAGAAGATACTTTCAGCCATATCCTGATAATAAYTTTCTTAGGTGCTCTTAACCCTGGAGTACAGAGTTGTCAGATGGACTGGCAAGCTGTAGCACCTGTTCTTCATTTCCTCACTGTWTTTCTGTTCCAAGTTCCTCTTTACCATCCCATTAACAAGGCCATGAGCCAGACATGACACCCTTTAAACCAGYTTTCCATTTTCTGTAATTCTTTCTGTGTACATCAATTTTACCTTCTGCCTGCTGCAAAGCTCCCCACTGCCTGGGCAGGACGCCCTGCTGTCATGAGCACACCCTGCTCCTTTCCTGAGGAGCTGAATCCAAGCAGATCTGAACTCTGAGCTCCTCTGGTAGCTCCCTTGTGCCTTGCTTATGTCWACAACATACCCTTGAAGACAGTGCGTGAAAAATGACTTGTACATCTCACCCTCCCTGCCTTGCTTTGCCCTGTTTCTTATTTTGAGTTACACAGGCTGTTTCCATCACAGATGGCTCTCTCCTACTCTGCTTCTTCCCATATGSTCTGGAATCCTTCACAGCTTTGCACTTTCCCCTAAAGACAATTGCATTGCACTTAAAAACATTTATGCTGCTTGCTTTARCAAACATCCACTGAAGATTCTTTGATATAAGCTGTTCCTCTGGCATACATTTAGTTGCTATGGTTGGCTCCTCTCCTAAGAGACCTATAATAGCTCCCGTTTGAAAATCTGCGACCTGGAATGGCTTTTATTAGCTTGAATGTCACACTTTCATCCCTGACCCTGTCTAACACCATTGTTACTCTGGATCTTAAACAGGTGGCAAGAGACACTGGGGGTCAAGTTCTCGATTGATGTAACTGCACTGGGGTGTAAATTCCTCCTTAGAGGGGAGCTGATCAGAGCGCAGCTGAAACAGGAATGGGGTGAGCCCTGATGTCACCTTTAACATTGGAGATGTGGAGATGACACCAGAGCATCTCTTTCACACATTATTCAAAGAAAGCAGGTGAAGAAAAGGGGCACAATCTTTAATATGAATGCAATCATTTAGAGGTATTTACTTCAACCATAATAGTCCTGTGACACTTGTTCTACACTCCCATAGTAAAACAAGCTAAGCTGCCTTACTTCTACAAACAGATCTGAAACATTTTCTATGTGATTGTTCTTTCCCTTGAAGAATTCAAATACAGCTTTTTATAAAGCCACCTTTGTGCAGAGAAATTTAAAGAAAATTTCTGTGAAGAGCTAATATTTTTTTTTCTTTTCTGGTGGTACATGGCTTCTCCACATTTTCTGACAGTAGAAGAGTCATCGCTTTTTTCCTTTCCTCTTCCAAATGGATGTAATGGTAGTAAATATATCAATATAAGATGTCTGTACCAAATACAGAAAGTCTATGAAGTATACAAAAAAAATCAGTAGAAATTCAGTCAAGAAAAATTCATGCACGTCACTAAAAGAGCCAAAGGAAAAACCAGATCACAAAGCATCTAAAATATTTGCAAGTCTTCTCAGTATGCCCCCCTTTATCCCAGACTTCTTATTTTTATGTTTTTGTTCTTCATTCCATGCATTTTCCTYCAACACAAAAGTTCTTTATCAGTTTTATTTGCAGATTGATAGAGGTAACACCAAMTGTCATGCTCATCCTCTTAGGTTCACCGTGAATTGAGTGCTCAATTATCACATCACCATGCATACGCCCCAAATTGATTAACTTGATATTTYAATATTTGACTACAAAGCTTAAGATGTTCATCTGCTTGTCATGTCATCATGCATGGTAAACCATCTAAATAAATAACTTCTTTAAAAAAAAATAAAAATAAATCCCCGCTAGAGCCATTCACATCRTCCAAGTGCTGCTACAATGTGGTGGCTCTGGCATTCTCAAATACAGATGTTCAGCATCATGCTCTGTAAAAACTTACAAGTGCAGGCAACCAGATCAAAACTGATCCCAAGAACATCTGGCCAAATGGATGCACTATCTTTTAACAAAGGCATCGTCACCATTTACAGTACCTGCCTTAATTTTTTGATAGAGTTCATTATGCAAGGCGGTGATAATAGCTGCAGAAGAATGAATATGTTTTCACTTAATAACATTTAACATTATAGCTTAAGCAAATTCTCTAAACCTCAAAAGCTACTTTAAGTGAAGCATATTTATAAATAAACTAATAGAAGATTAGGACAGAATTTCTTCTACTGGGCAGACAGACTTTGCAACAGTAAGGGATTTGACTTTCTCAATACTTTCTCAGTATATGTTACACTGACTACCTGCTCCATCAATTGCAAGRTTTGACACTTAATTAGGACTTGAAACCAGGGTTCATAAAATAAGGATTTGCTATGGATTTCTGTAATTTTCAGTGGCTGTACAAGACCAACAAAGCCCCTCAATGTCAGAGCAYTCTTTGTGCCTCTCTGCTGGTTTAACTGTACCCTTCTCCTTACAAGAGTGTTTCCTTCAAATGCATGCATTCCTYATTTCTCTGCACTAAATACGCATCAAGACAAAACCAGTGAAYAGGTTTAGTTCAAACTCACACAGACACAGGTATTAATGGGTTACAACTAATTTTTCTTTCTTTTCTAGACACCAAGGCCAGAGAGGAGAATGACTTTTCAGCAGGTAATCACTGAGCGTTTTTGGTACCAAACTTCTACAATACTACTCATGCAAACTTAGCCTTCATCAAGAGTMAGTTAAGTGGGAAGAACAAGAAAATAAAGTGGGAAGTCCAGAACATACTGAATTCAATACGACCTYCTCAAAGAATTCAGAGGATTTCACCATACCATTTTCAAACAATTTTCATGTAGATTCAAGCCTTTGGCCCACTTTTATAGCAACAGCAATGACACTAACATTGTGTCTGCTCTGTAGAAAAAGACTTGAAGCCAAATTCTGCCTTRAGTTACACTTTGTAGAATAACATCTACATCTAAACAGAATTTAGTACTGACCAAATTTACACAAGAGCATATTCATCTGACCCTAAGCTATTTGTACCCTACACAGTCCACAAAGCAAGAAGGAGAACAAACCTTCATTTTGACATGGGCTGCTCCTATTTTGCCTTGCATATTTTTCTAATACATTGACTAGGATTTGTTTTTTTCAATCCTAAGACTCCTGTATTTCAACACTGGAAACTCAGACACATGCATACAAAGCTGAATGCAAAAAGTCACTACACTGGCCTAAAAAAATGAGTGAAACGGCCCCAGAGTTTGCTGTTCTCAGTTCTCCGCCACTTGATTTCATAAAGCCTAGGACTGAAGAGACACTGCTCTCCTTAGGAGCACTGRTAACACATCTTTATGCTGCATTTTCCTGATACATAGGTCTGTAGCTAACAGAAAAAGTGGTGTTCAAGAGTAGTTAAGTAACTAAACCACTGTGCAGGGTAAAGGGTAGAGGGGCTGCATTAACCCCACGGAATCACAGCGTTGGATTCCACCATTCCACACCTTCCTGCAGGCTGGATCTCACACAGACACCCTGCCCTGGCTGGCACAGGACTGCATCTACTCTGCAATTAGAGATGTGAAGGCTGCACAGAGCAGCACCAAAGACATCCAGTGACATGGACTCTCAGCCTGTCTGCCTCTGCCAGCCTGCACCAGCTCACACCACCCTGCTCTGGCTTYATCATCAGCTGGAAACCACCTCAGGTGCCATCACCAGCACAGCCACACGTCCCAYAGCAGACACAACCAACAAATCAACACTGCCCCCAAGGAGAAGAAATGGAAGTGGGTGGAGTTTGGAGGTACAAAGCAAACTCAGGAAAATCTGRAAGTACAAAGCTACTCCAGAATCAAGAGAACAGAGAGGACAGATGTGGATGTGTGCCAGATTAGAGAGGCAAATGCTCTCAGGCAGTACACAGAATATATCCAAACCTGGGATTTTGTAAGCATTTTCTCAACTAAAGTATTCATGGGTAGTTGATCAAACATGTATATAAAAAGGAACTGACTTAATTGATAGCATTTTTTTTTCTAAAAACATAAATCACTGCTCATGGAAAACTATTTACTTTTAACCATCACTTTAAAGTCAGATATTTTTCCACCATTTTMATTTGCTTCATATTTGCCCTCTAATTTTTAGTTTCAGAAGGAAAACTTTCTGGAATACTGGAAAACCAATACTAAAGCCCCCAAAAGCTCATCTGAATCTAAAATAAAAAAGTTAATTTTAAGCATTTCATTAAACAAAATAAAAAAATGTGAGAATTAACAAGCAACACTGAAACAAGTGATGCAAAATACAGCGTCAGTGCCCATGGTGGCAAGTGATAGCAGGAAAGCTGTGTGGCAGGAGTAGTAGCAAGCGCAGCAAATGGCAATAATGAAGAATCTTCTCAGTAAAGAAGATCATTATCAACACTATGCAAACACAACAGCAAACCTCTGCAGAGCGTGGCCTGCGCAGAACCAGACTCTTTGGATAAAAGAACTCAGATGAGGAATGCTGTCATGAAACACAAAAGGGAAAAATGAGTGAAAAGGAAAGCAGTTTCCCCAGTTCAGTGGTTAAGCTCTTTTTTTCAATCAAGTAATTAATATCTACTTGTGTTATAATATCTGTTACTTACTGACCACTGCAGAATCATGAACAGCCAGACAGTTGTAAATAAACACCTAAACAATGTATATTTTTGCAACATGCATATGGTTGCTTTGTTTTCTGCTTGTTTTGTCTTTGTAATCTTCCACAAATWTCCGTGGGGAAAAGATCTAAAGCAACCACTGCTTTTATGAGGTCCCTCTCAGATCTTGACCAGCTCGAATGCTGATTAGTTTATATCACAATTCAGTTACTGAGAGAAAACAGAACTTGYTGAAAACTTCTGAAGTGACTTCAGTGATAAAAGGRCTTTTTGTTTTGTTTTGTTCCATAGGGAAAGGAAACCTAGCAAACAAATAGGCAATGGCACTGGCTTTTTGCAGAACCACCAGAAAACCTAGGCCTGACCCTGWATAAAAAACTGACATTCAGTCAAAGTACACTTCTCAATTTAGTGCTGACATGCTCAATAGCACACGATTCCCCCAGCTCTGTTTCTGCACCTACCTGTTTGCTACTGYCTTCATTTGGGTCAACAGGATGAAGCATCAAAGTCATCAAAGGGAACTCCAGCTGATTTCAGAATAAGGTGTCTGACTTTGCACCAGAGCAGACAGAGATTATCTATGAGGTACCATAGAAGCCAAAAATGGTTCCACTCTCAGCCAGCTTCGGTATGGTGCATTTATCAATGCCTTAAAGACATACTGAACCTGTGCACAGAAGCTCTCCTCCAGGAGCACGCTGATGCTGTGCTGTGACATTGCTCAGAAGCTCCCTCAAGATGCCTCCTTCAGCTTCACCTCATTTTCCTGCAAAAACTCACTTAGGCAAAGCCTTGCAGGTGACTTAACTGAATGACTTTGCTCACTTCAATTAAAATTAGCTAAAGGGGAGAATACTGACAAAAAGGGAAATACTTGAAGAGGACTATGGCCATTTCCATGGGGAATGGCAATAAGCCCACTGATTTATAAGGTCAGCTGGGGAAAGCTAGTAAGGGCCAGTGCAGTCAGGAGTGCTTTGATAAGACTACTGGGTCCAAGTGAAAAGAGGGTATTGTACTGCAACCAAGTACTAGAAAGTACAATCAGTCTGACACTTAAGCATGGCCAAAATGCTGTCTTTACATTCAGACTGTTAAATGAGGAAGAAAATCCAGTCTGGTATAATTTTCCAATTTCTTACAAAAAGTGAGGGCAGAACTATGTGTGAATGCTGGGTGGCACCTGCACTGAGGCTTGGCYATTCTAGACCATGCCCAGCTAGGGCCAATTATGCTTTTGCCCACACTAAYATGAACTCTGCTCAACAAGAATTTATCTGCACATTACCTATGACCATAAAAAATTCTCTGTGGGGGATATTTTACAGACCAGTGCACCAGAATAAATGCTAAAGGATGTGGCTTCCTGTGAATGAGGCCCATGTGGAATACAACCCACAGGGTGTCACAGGTATCTACCAGCACCTCTTATTTTCCTTATCTGAATGATCATTTATTCATATGCAGTCTCTAATATTCATATCCYGGCAAATGAGCTAAATTCAAACGACTAACTGAGACATCAAAAAGAGAAAATTGTCCAGGGGATGAATCAGTGAATAGGGGCTTAGAATTGCCTGGTTCATGCAAAAAGCCAGGCTCTAGCATTTATCAGTGCAGCATTACTGTCACTGAGGATTTGACCCAGAAAGTTTGTCTGAATGTGCTGATWTGACTCCAAAGGTAACTGTGGCTCTTTTTGGCATTCAAATCAGGATCACTTTAGGTTGAGGCTTCCTTGGATGGCAAGGAAAGAAGAGTTCATCTTGTCTAAATGCTGCAAATAACCACGCAGAACAGGGGATAACTATAGAGCAATTACACARATGTGCAAAACTACTAAAATATATGATAGCATTTGCCCTGTTCATATCTTCTCCTTAAGAGTCTCTCTCACAACAATTGAGATATGAAATGAAGTGTCTTAGATACTTGGCCACGTCTGTATGTCAGTAAATGACACTATCTTTAAGGCAGTGCACTGAGACAGGTATGTGAAGGTGGTAAGCCTAAAAATCAGAGCAATACCTCTGAAGTGCCTCCACTGTATATTCTGCCAGAGTTGTGACAGCTATGCGAAAAAAACATGGAAAAAGTCACTCTTTTAAAAACAACATTCAATTATTGTGTGTGCAAAATGTATGGTGTGTCATTGAGAAGTGAGTTCAGCTTACCCGGAGCTTCTCTTCAGTCTTGGTGGATTGCTTACAGTCGGGATGCCAGACAGTGGAACCTGAGGGAGGAAAAAACACATCTTTACTCAAAGCAGATGACTTCTGGTCATGACAAGTCAGTTATTAAAGACAATCTCTTCACTGCATCAGATGCTGAATCTGTATGAACTATGAGAGTAATTCATACTACAGTCTAGCTCACAAGAAATACAAGTGAAACAAAAAAAAAAATATTCAAATCCTTGGCGTATCAGCTTTGTCCTGAGGCTGCCAAAGCACTTTGCACACATTCTTAATTAAAACTCAAGCAGCAAGAGAGTCAGCAAGCACCAGCTGGAGGAACTGAAAGAGAGAGGGTTCCTCTGGCAGGATGGAGGGCAAGAGCAAAGAAACYGGGCCATGGTTACCTGATCTGTTCTCCCCTTATGTACTGCCCCACATAAAAAGGCAGTTCTGATTGTACATCCATTGAGCAATAGGTGTCATGTTCAGTTACTGTAAAGTATTACCCCGATCACTTCTTCCCTCAAGCAAAATGCAAAAGGAAAAGCAAAATTAGAAAATCCACAATGCAAGAGGCAGGGCTGTGTGTGAGCCACTGGCAGTGGGTGAGAGGCCAAAATGACAGGAGGGGCAAAGCAGCAGTGAGAGGGCTGTCCCTGGTTCAGAGCACACTGTCCCTGCCCCTGCCACACACAGCACTTCTGCCCCTTGCTCTGATGTGTGACACTGGCACATGGCATATTCCAGCTATACATTCCACTAAAAAAGTCAAGTCCTCTGCTGATTTTTCYCAAAATATGAGATTCTTTCTTATTCTGTCAAGTAGAAGTATCTGGCTGTTCCCAAGGGCTGAGCAGAGGAACATTTCCATCCCATTTCAGTTGTCCTCTGGAACAGTGTAAACTGTGGTCACTGCTGGGAAGCTGCTGGCAGGTTTAGCTGAGATGAAATGGAGTAAAAACTAACACYGATTTTTAACACTGACTGCAGCTGCAGTCAAATTCATCCTTCGTTCCAGTCACCACAAAGTCAACCCAGAGCCTTGACTATCTGCAGGGGGGAGCATCACCTCTTCCCTCTGTCCACAAAGAAACCAAACAGAGCCAAGTCCAGGTCTCCTGCTGGTGACTATTAGCTCAAGARCAGCCAGAGGAAACCCCACCCTAAGAGCCCAGGAGAGGGATGGGTCAGGGCCCCTGGAAATTTTTTTTCTAACAARCCCTTACGTGGCTTGGTACAGAAGTAAAGAGCAGCAGGAATCATTTGGCTTCCCAGCAGTACACAGCACAGTCATCATCAGGAGACAGGAGAGACTGCTGTGACTCTGGATCRAGGGTCTGAGATGTTTGGCTGTGAGTCGAAGCTGAGGAAGAAGAAACTGTGCATTTGGCAAAGGGAAACCATCAGACAACGGGGAGAAGTGCACCAACAGCCTTCTCTGTAAACAAACAGCAAMCTCAGAGCCAGGACCCCACAGAGCCTGAGAGATCAGGAGGGAGCTGTGCCTTGTCTGTGCAGGAGGAAGAGAGTTCATGTTATAAGGTTCTAAGTTCATGTTAAAAGAAGTGATCTGAGTGATACGTTTCTGAATATGACACCTATTGCTCAAGGATGAATTAAGACTCAGAAGATTTTGGTTCAAGTCTCAAATCCAGCTGTGAGCTTCCTTCCTGTGTGGCCCTGAGAAAATTGATCCCTATTTCTCTGTACCTCACTGTTAGATTAATGGTAGGAGTTGATGATCTTAGGGATCTTTCCAGCCTTAGAAATTCTGTGATTCTTTTCTATTAAACTTTTCCTACCTTCAAAGAGAAACTGTCACTGCATTTTGGACAGTATTTATCACAAACTGGCACAGTTTTAGGAATGCCCTGTGAGAATGCTGAAAATGAAGAATGCAGGAATCTGGATGTCATTTTTATGGTGAAACTTAGCTAAGGGTCATGGGTTTTTTTCACAAAACGGTAAGAGATTTGAAAGATGTGACATTTAATAATCTAAATCAGATAGAGCAGGCTAAAGAGATGAAACATGATTTTGTGATCTTGAACTCTGAACAACCTGCATTTGTAGGTACTATTCATCCAAACACACCAATCTGTTTCAAAATGATTGCAAGGGTGCAAATTCCCAAGCTGCATAGCTCCTCTTTTTTACCACAGGAAACAGTTCAGCAAATTGTGATYATTCCCATTCTTAACTTATCTTTGTCTGCTCACTTGGCAAACACTAACTAGCATGCTCATTTATTCAGCTTTATACTTTGCTCATACCATTATTTCAGCATCATCATCTCTCTAAATACTGGGCAATCCTAGTTCAGCAACAGCTTTATAGTGCAGCCCATATGAAAATGTATTACTAGGAGGTCAATGGGAACGAGAAGGTTTCTGGTGCTGTTAATTCTTGCATAAATGCTTTTCATTTTCATGTGTTGGAGCAGTGCCAAGCCAGAGTGATTCTGCTACCATTATTCTGACCATCCCTAACATAGAAAACCCCCAAGACAGACAGCTTGTTTGTCCATGTTGTCCTTTTGCAGTTTTCCCACACATTTCTAATACAAGTCTGTTCCACAGTCCTGCCTGGCTCCTCTATTATACAAAGCAACACCAAGTGCTTTCATATCCTAGGGAGAGGACAACTAGAAGTGAGATGGAAGATGCCTATTTTAGTGTATTTTATCAACAATGTGATTTTTGTTCTAGCTTTATTGTGGTGTTGTATTTTTATTTCAGAGAAATGCYTGGAATGCTGTTATTCTGCACCCTAGGGTCAGTGATTTGGATGGAGTCAGGATATGCATTTCAGCTGAGAGCTTTGCACAGGAAAGGCTTTTAGGTCCTCACAAGCACAATGAATTCAGCAAGGAAAGCTTTGGCAGGACAGTCTGGAGCACACTCAGCAATTATATTATTTAGTCAGAAAGCAGCTTATGAACAATAAAGCAATGCAACTCGGGCTGCTCCTCCCCTGGGACAGTGAGCACAAGGAACATCGATTCAGAACCACAGAAAGATACACTAAGAAAACATCAGATCAGTCAGCCAGGTTTCTCTTCTATCCTCTTTCCTATCACCTGAACTTGTCCAGGATAAAGTCCAGCCTAGTTTAAGTGATACTTTCCGCCTTATTTTGATCAGCAGAAATTTACACCAAAGCCTGCTCAATCAACCCAAAATCCAYTCCCTGCGAGGCTGCTGCAAATGGCACCAGTTGCAAATGGTTGATGTTAATAACAGCAAAGGACAAACTGATGCTCTTCTGCCTGTACTTTATCACACTATAATGTGAGGAAACCAAGGTTTACCAGGTACCCTAACTGCTGCTTTCAAGTTAGTTTTTCCAATTTGCCATCAGAAAGCAGCACCTCCCACCCAGCCCTCATCCAGCCTCTCCTTGCTCCTGCAAAGCAGAGCTGCTTCACAATTTCACATCCCGTTCTGTGCACAGCTGGAATGAGATGACTAAGGTATAAGGTCAGTGAGAGATGAGAGAGAGGGACTGCAAGGAAGGACAAACTACAAAATAAAACAAGTTAGCTTCAAAGGAATGCCTGAACAATATTATCCTRTTTTGGAACTCCTCCAGTAAGAAACTCTCCTCAGTATTTCAAGAGATGGCTGTGGCCACATGTCCAGAATTTTTTCCTTATTCTTCTACATTCCTTTCAAGTACAGCAAGTTTTCTAACCTAAGTGTAATATACAAAATCCCAACATTTATCTGCCTTTTTCACTTTTATTTCTGGGTTGCATTAATGGATACTGGGATGCATTAATGGTACATCCTTCTACCAACAGTAATACTACAGCAAGTAATGAAAATAATTTAATTGCTAGTATAATAACCTCTCAGAGAGTAGGTGGGATTCGGATCAAGACTATTTTTCAATCAAAGCAAAGATCATATTCTTTTTTATGTGAGAAGATCATGGAAAAACCAAGCTTGGCAATACTTGGAATGCGAGACCATTAACTAGAAAGGGGAGATGAAAATAAACATACAAGAAACAGGTGACTGTAGAAAGATATAAAATTAAAGTAAATGGGAATAAAAAGAGAGATGTGACTAGATAAAAGGGAATTAGGTAAGGGAAGCAAACGTGATTAGGAACTACTGAAGGCAGGATGACTATAGTCCTCCTTGGCCATATTACATGGAGTTGAGGTCGGTGACAGAAAAATCACAATGTCTGATGTTGTTTTGGAATGGAGACATCCCTTACCTTGCAGATACATTTCTTCTCCTTCTGTGAACATTTGGTTGCATCTGCTGCATCGTGCACAGCTTGGATGATAATGCTTGTCACCTGCCTGAAATAAAACAAAAAAAGGGACATGAGGGACAAATGCATTGCACTGCTCTGTGAGCACTCATTATTGGCTGACTGACCATTGCCCTTTCTCTTCTAGTTCACCTGTTAGGATACAACACTGCCCTCATGATGTGACAACAGCACTGAGAATGTAAGCTCTKCTCCAGCCCTGAGGTCCATCCTGTCCTCAACAGAGACCAGCAGTGACTGCTTGGCAAAAAGTCTGTAAAAGACAATATAGAACAGCCCTTCCTCTTCACACCTTCCMATTCAACTAATCAGTGTTTTCCTGGCCAGGAGCTACATCACAGTGTATCTGTTCTCCATGATTTGACAAACATCTTTTTAAATCTTCATCTATCTAACAGTCCAAGGCAATGAATGTCACTCTGCAGTTAATTTGTGTGAACTTGCTGCCTCCTTGTTTTGCCAAACAACACATCTTTATTCAATTGCTCCGTTGTTAGGGAAGGATTTAGTCAATGACAGAGTTTTCAGCCTGCCATTTCATTTCTTGGTCTTCCTCCCTACACTGCTGGTACAGGCATTAGTGGAGAGAGCTTTCTAGAGCCACTTCTGGGACCATTAATTTAATTTATAGATGCCTGACTTCAAAAGCTATGCTAACACAGACAGCTTGAGCTGAATTTGAACTACTGATGTAAAGGCCCCAAATACCCTAGATCCTGTTACCCAAATCCAAATCCACTGAGTCATTCATTCTCTTAAATACATTGATACCCATAATAGGAAAAGCTGATCAGATTTCAGGCCTGTAAGGACAGGAAAAATCAAGGCACAAATATTAATGTGATTTCTTCTCCTTAGGAGACCAAAGCAATCAATACATTAGCTTCCTCCCATCATAAACTAAGCACACAATGTCCACATCAGGCTTTTAAACAAAAAAATAATTAAGACTAGAAAATTACTTCATAGTGACAAGTAAGGAATTATAAAAGTCTTTAAATTTGCATCTGGCTTTCCAAACAAATGAACTTCAAGTCCTTTTTTCACAAATACTCCCCATCCACTAAGATGTTATATGCACAAGGCATCTGTTTACTCTATAGCTGACTTGTAAAATGACATCAAAACCATTTTGTACTTCATCATACTTAAGACTGTAACATTACTAAATCCAACCTTTCATCATGTCTATTGAGAAGAATAACAGCTTATTTTCGGTTCACATTTGGCATTCATTACGCTGGATTTCTATTTAAAAGCATTTATATGAGATGATGAAGTACATGGATTAGAGTGCCTGACAGAAACCAGAAACCAGCTCTGCCACCCAGCTCTCCAACAGGTAAAGCTGCTCCACTCAATTTTAACAACTCCTACCCAGGAATTTCAGCAATGAAAGGCCAGGGAAGAGGACTCAGTGTGTTTTTAGTTCAGCCATACATTCACTTTTCAGCTGCATTTCTCTTACTCAGATCCTGCCTTTGCTTTGATTCCTGTTCTTWAGGGGCAAAATACATCAAACAGGGAGAGTAATGGGATTTAGGGTTTTTTTTGCACAGTAGATTTAGAGSCATCAGGCAAAACAGGATCTCTGCTAAATGGAAGAATGAAAAGTCACTACAAAATATGCTTATTCAAGGAAGAAAAGCTAATGAGGGAGAAAACAAAGCTGATGTTTTACTTGCAGCAACAAAGTCAATATTGAACTGAGAGAGAAAAACACAGTTAATGCTCATTCTCTATCATTATCATTAGTGGCTGTCTTCTCCATCTCTGACTTTCCCTAGCAATTATTTAACCTCTGAGGTGTCCCACTAGTTTCATTCGAGACTGGAATTTATAGAATGAAGAAATCCAGAATTCATCACATTATTATGGGCAGGCCTGTGGCCTCTGAAATTTTGCTGTCCTGGAAAAATTTCTGATAAGCTACTGTCAAGGGAATATAGTTCAAACCATGTACACCTGCCTCTTCAAAACAGCCAAAGGGAYCAATTTCAAGTTTATCAGGTCTTTCCCCGAGACTGACACAACCAGCCAAACTTCAGCCTGGTGTGAGTGATGATGAATGAACACCACGCCCAGATAACACAACCCTGCAAAGTCCAAGCAAGCACACACCCTGCACTCGAGAGGTTTCGGGGGAGTCAATACCAGAGCTGCTGCAACTGTTGTTGTTAGACACTTCTAAAACAGTTTCATGAGTTTTTTGCCTCTGTAATGTTTCTACAACACGTGACTGGGAGCTTTTCTACAGTGGATATCCGCTGGAAAACATTCTGAATCCTCAACTTCAGGATTTATCTTGCTATGCCTGATTTGCTGTGATCATCTTGGAAAATGGTTGCTAAGAATCAGTCATTTATAATGGATTAGGAAAACCATTTGGATCTACAAGGCAATGAAATATTCACTCTTTTTAGACTGTTGCTTTTACCCTCTTAAGGCTACTTAATCCTCACTCAGGATTCCCAGTGTGATCTTATGCAACTGTGCTGTGGATCAAAAGGTTTGTATCTCAATACTGAAGGCAGTAACAGGTAACATCGATTATGTGCACATTTCCCCCAAGGTGCAAGAGGGTTAAAGGCTGTTGCCTTTAGCTCTGAGCTCTCCTTGCCCCTTCTCCAGGTCACATCCAGAAATCCTCTGGATCCATCCAGTTTGCTGTGTTATGCAGCCACTGGGTTTTGATCTGTCATACTGCTTGTGGTCCCTTCTGAATTATTCCACTTTGGTTGAGTCCTCAGGACTATCCAAACCATCAAGCATAAACTGTGACCCATATCTTAGAGGACTCTCCCTAAACTAAGATTGAGTAAACTAAATTAATTGCTTTATATACTTCAGTTTTGCTTAGCTAGAAGTGCTAAAATCAGCCAAAATGATATTTAACTCTTACTTTGCATACAAATTCTTAAATGGACTTGAATGAATGGACAGCAATTTATTGTCAAATGAAATATTAAATCTATGTGTCGCTGTCACTGCCTATAAAGTCTCTGTTAAATCATCTGGCACTTGCACTTGCCCTAAAAGCAAAGAACATCAGTTATCAATTTGTAACAACATACAACCTCTTCTGACTTGCCTATTTATCTTCCACCCACATTGACAAATCCAAGATAGCTTCTCAGATTAAATCCCATTTTGAACACAGTAGACAGAAAAAATGAAATTTAAAAAAAGTAGTAGTATGTACTCATTTATCAAATACTTCCAGAGCCTTAGAACTGCAGAGCGACCAAAGGAATTCTATAAGCATAATTAGAAATGTAAATATATCTATGCTAAATTTTAGTATCTTTCTATGACTCTGCAAGTCTTACTGATTGGTGACTGATCAGTGATATACTAGTTTTAGTTACTTTCTGCATCTGCTAAGTATGTATACTATACACAATATGCACATTATATGCATGTTCATGTTAACAAAATAGATACAATATTATTTGAGATAGTATTAAGGCTCTATTTATTCTGATAATTTCAAGACTTAAACTGGAATCAAGTCTGTAGCAACACTGAGCTTCAGTTTCCCAGCCTACAAAGCAGATTAAGTAACATTTAATGTCCTACACAAAATACTTTGGAAAAAAGCTACCAAGGAAAACCATTATAGAAGTGTATCCTTCATAACCAGTCTTAACAATAAAACCATGCAATCAAAYCTCTAATGCTGATAAAGGACAGTTGGAGGCTCAGTGACCAGAAKTAATGGATCATGGGCTACACAGGAAGCTGGACGTATCAATGAGAACCCAAATTTTTCATACCAAATTTTTTATAGATCACCTTATAGCTTCAGAAGCTATAAATTTCCAGCCTTTTTCCAGGATGCTATTCTGCTAAATGGCTTCAACTTGGRACATTACAAATCCTCCTTAGCTGATTAAGCCATTCTAAAAGCCTCTGTGGGCTGTTTAGAGAGGGCTTTGAAGGCTCCCTCTAATTGGGGGGGTCATGACCCTGCCCAGTTCRGAGTGAGAAGGGGGCAGAGCAGAGGCACTGTTACACCCCATGTGCACTGTTACACCCTCCTGCAGCTCAGAAGGTAAATTTAAGGGCTGCAGCACCAGCTGAACACCACACTCTGAGCTCCTTTACAGTCCTTTCTCACACCGCTGATGCCCCAAACTCGTGCACAGCACCCCTTTGCCTTCASTTTACCAACTTCCCTTGTTTAAGGATCTTCTGAAGTCAAAAATGTACTGTCACTCCTAGCTGGTAAGGAAGGCAGTGGTGGGTATTGCAAGAATTACTCCAACCCAGGAGCTGCAAATACAGCTGCAGACAAGCTGACACAACATGTCCCAAAAATCCAGCTGAAAAAGTACCTGTGCTGAGCTCACGTACAGCCCTAACCCCGGGGTAACAGCACTTCAAAAGCCAAGGACTGTGTTTTCTGAGTCCAACCCCTCTGCCCCCACTTCCCACAAGACTAACTTYTATTCTCTGAGTGCCTGTAAAGCTCTAGGCTGATTAAATAAATGTTTTCCTCTTTGGTGAACGTGAGAGCTTAAGATTTCCTATTACTCATGCCTTCAGCTCTGTCCTTCCTTCCAGAACAACAGTGAACAAGAGCCAGAGAGAACAATAACAAGAATCCCGCTAGGAGAGCTCACATGCCAGTGGGTCTGGTAGAGGAAGAACTAATTACCAACAGACATGTTCTGCTGGCCAAAGGACACAATTAACTGCATATTTGTTGTGTTACATTTGCACAGCTGCACTCGCTCACTCTCCTTTCAGAGATAACTTAACAGTCACCTGACAGAGAGCTATTAAACATGTAGAAAACTTTACTTTTTTATTTAAATATAAAAACTATTACGTAGTTGAAAGAGTACATTGAAGAGTAAAAGCACTTCCCCTTTTTCCTTTCTGTTTAAGTTTTTATGGACAGTTGTAATAGGCCCGTTTCACAGACAAACCTATCCAATCTTTATTCCTATTATGACTTTGAGAAGAATGACTTGATTTCTTAACTCCCTGAAGGACTAAGGAGAAGCTCAAAGAATAATCCAG